TGTCTGTGCCATGCCCTGTGCTGCCCCTCTGGGCCGTGGAAGGGCCTTCACCCTGAGAAGCCGAGAAGGCATCTCCCAGGCTTTGCCAGTCTTCACCAGGTCTTCACTTAGCCTGTGGTGAGGACTTGGGTCTGGACACTCTGCCAGTGGCCTCCAGCTGCAGGGGGAGCAGCTGCTGGCCACTGGCCATGTGTGCTCAGCAGGATCTGCCCCCCAGCCCCAGGCCCGCTGTGTCCACAGGAAGAGCAGGTTCCCGCACAGGAAGCCCCTCCCCCAAAGCTGGTGAGCAGCAGGATGGCCCTGATTTCCGGTTTCTGGCTGAAACCCTGACACCTGGCTGACATCGTGGACCTTCCTGGCCGGCTGGCTTGCCAGCTTCACCACTTCTGTCCGGTGTCCCGAGAGGGGCCCAGGCCCTGTGTTGGCCTCGCCCTGTGCTGCCTCCCTGCCTGTGGCAGGCACCCCTGCGCTGGGCCTCGCCTTCCCTCACCTCAGTGGAGGGGTCCTGGGTGAGGACCCAGGAGGCTTCTAGACAGATGGCCTGGCCCTGAGGCCCAGTGGCCTCTCCTGTTGCCTGGCCCTGCCCAGCCTCACCTCTCTACCTCAGCCCTCTGGCTGGGGTTGGTGACTGCCGCGATGTACTGCATGATGCGCTTGCTGGCTTCCGTCTTCCCTGCACCACTCTCTCCTGCCGGAGACAGGGACAGGCAGAGTGAGCTGCCTCTGCCCCTCTACTGGCGCCCTGTGCCTGCCCGCCCACCAGGGGGCTCCAGTCACCTCCCGTCACTCACAAATGATGGTGCCGGGGCCCCGGAGGGTACCTGAGATGACAATGCAGGTGTCCCTGGACCTGCGTTTCATCGCCCCGTAGGCAGCGTTGGCCACAGCGTACAGGTGGGGCGGCCGCTCGTAGAGCTCATGGCCCTGGTACCTGGCGATGGCCTCGGGCCCGTAGAGGGGCAGCTCCTGGTACGGGTTCACGGACACCAGCACCTCCCCAATATAGGTGTAGATTCGGCCCTTCTCAAACCTGGTGTGGGCAGGGCCACCCCTCAGCCCTCAGGACACACGCTAGGCCCAGGGGTGGTGGGCCCATGTGGGGAGCTTGGGGCCCTGGCCCACCCTGGGGCTGAGCTTGGAGACGGGAGAGCAGTGGCCCTGAGTCTTCCCAGACCCACCCCCACCACAGCAGCATGTTGGGGTCCACACTGCCCTCCATGGGGTCCTAACACACAGGAATTGTGACCCCCCTCATTTACCTAAGGCCACACTGGGTAAACCAGAGCCTGTGGGCAAGGAGACAGACAGGTCTCAGGCAGGACCAGAAAGAGATTAGGAGGCAGAGGGAGGGGCCTGGGCTGCTTCCTTTCTCAAGGCCTGGGTGGGGCCCCAGTGGCAGAAGGGGACCCCGCCCAGCCCCACCCAGACAGGGCCTGGGAGTGGTACCTGGGAAGGACTCGGGGGCTGCAGCCGCTGCCACCCTCCCCCAGCACATCCTGACTTCTCAGCCCTTCCTTTAGGACCCTGTCACCAGTTGGGGCCGGAATCACAGGGCTGCTCCCTGAGATGTCTGGGCCCTGCCCTGCCCTCGGCACCCATTGGGGTTCCTCTTCCTCAGCTGCCTCTGATGTGGGGGTTCCCTGGCTACACTCCCTCAACCACCCCCCCCACCTGCTGGGACACACTTTCCCATGTGCCAGCTGTGTGGCCCATGGCTCGGCATCCTGTGTCAGAATGGAGTTGGTGACACTGTCTCCTAAGCCGGTTTGTGTGAATGAGGTGCAGCCCTGCCTAGCTCGGTGCCCTGTGTGGAGCAGCTCATCCCTGTCCTCTGACCCCCACACCTGTGCTCAGCAGGGTGCCTTCTGCTCCCCTTGGCTGCCCAGGGGCGAGGCCAGCTCCTGGCAGCAACCTGTGTCACCAGCGCCGCCTGACCCTGGCCCCTCCCTGCCCTCTGCCCTCCTCTGAGGGAAACGCGCCCTGCTGCTCTGCCACAGGGAGCGTCCACCCAGTCTGGTGCTGGTCTGGGTGCAGTGGAGCAGCCCATGTGCAACAGAGGCTTGCTCGGCCTGCCCACTCCCCCCAGGGCTCAGCAGGGCCCCGAGAGGGTGATGGGGGGTCTGGTCTGGGTGCTCAGCAGTGGGGCAGAAGGCACTGGCTGTGTGGGAGGCGGGGTCTGGGGAGTCCGCTCCAGCACTGGCCACTGCCCTGGCCTGAGGGGATGGTCCTGCCTGCCTCACCAAGTGCCCCCGAGGTGAACCCAAGATAGTGGTCTGGGTGGCTGTGTGTGGCTCCCCTTCCCATGGGGGATCTGGGAGAAGGGAGCCGGGGCCCAGGCCCACCTGAGCTTCAGGTTCTCCATGAAGTCCTCCATGGTCACTTGGTCCAAAAGTACAAAGTCCGCTTTGCCGCACTCAGGGCCCTCCTCGTCCTCCATCCTGCCGGCAGGGAGCACCCAGACCAGGTCGTCCGCCCGCCCAACCTTCCTGTGCAGAGTGTGCAGGGAGCAGGCCCGGCCCTCTGCCCACAGCCCGCCCTGCGCTTCTTCGGAGTGTGGTGAAGTAGGAAGTGGGTTCTGGCCCCGGGGAGGGGCTGTCCCTCCTTCCCCAGGGGCTCTGACCCCTGCTTCCTGGGCGGGCTGCCTAACGGTGCTCTGAAGGTTCCCTGGGGCCCTTAGCGATATCCAGCCCACCCCTCGCCCCCAGTGGCAGTGGCCATGGTCCCCAGCCCTGCTGCATGGGGTCACCTGCAGGACCTCAGCATGTGCGGGTGGCCAACGCCCTGGCATTTGGGGCAGGGACCTGGACATGGGCAGTAGCCATCCTTGGAATGCAGAGACCATGCCAGGAGGTGACCGGCAACACTGGCCAAGGGTGGGCTGGGGTCTGCATTTATCTGCCCCCGGGTGTTTTCCGGAAGGTCCCTTCCTGTGTGAGGGCTGCCAGCCTGCCCATTTGGTGGCAAGGTTGGGGAGCAGCACAAGGGGCCTCCTGTGCTGAGAGCTCCACTGACCAGGCAGCAGGTAGGAGCGCTCAGTTCTGTCCCTGAACAGCCCGTCCCCAGCACAGGACGGAGGGTCTCCCAAAGTCATCTCATCCATGTGCTGACTTTGGGACTCTGTGTCAGGAGGAGAGTTTATCTGACAATTGCCTTTCAATCAACCTGCTTTCCTTTTTATAAAGATTTTATTTATTTCAGAAAAACGAGAAGGGAGGGAGAAAGAAAGGGAGCAACATCGATGTGTGAGAGAGACAGAGAGACATCGTTTGCCTCTTACACACTCCCAGCCGGGGACCTGGCCAGCAATCCAGGCACGTGCCCCGACCAGGAAGCGGACTGTGAGCTCTCAGTCCACTGGCTGGCGCTCAGTCCACTGTGCCGCACCAGCCAGGGCCCAACTCACTTTTTTAAGCTCTGAAATAATTGTTTGATATGCAATGGTCCCCCCGAAAACACCAATGTAATAAAATTGCAAATTGCTTATTGCAGTGCGGAATAAAACCAGCCCTGCCCCTGTGCACCCCCCAGAAAGCCCTGCGAGTTCTTGTGGGCCAACTGGGGTCAGGTTTCACCCTCCCAAGCTCTGGACAGCCCTCAGCCTGCGTCTTGGGCTGGTGCTTTTGAAGGGCTTTCCAAACCAAAGCCGGGGAGAACCTGGGGAGTTCCCAGCATGTGTTCACTTCTCCGAAGTCCTGGGTGAGTGTCCTGGGCTTGTATCAAAAAGGAGCGCAGTGGCCGGTCCATGACACTTTGGGGTCACTGAAACCTGAACTTAGCAAAATTTGCGTATGACAAAATAGTTTCTCTTTCTTTCTTTTTGTAACCCTCATCTGAGGGCATGGTTTAACTGACTGGGGGGAGGGGCAGAGGAACATCAATGTGAAACATCGATTGGTTGCCTCCCATAGGTGCCTGGGCTGGGGATTGAACCCCAAACATTTCTTGGTGCGTGGAACGACACTCCTACTGAGCCACCTAGCCAGGGCATGAAAGTTTCCTGGGGGTTATTTTTTTCCATGTGAAAATGTCCCAACCTCTTGGGTGGGAACTCAGTTTTGGGTCCTGGCTTCAGGAGCTGCTGCCACAACCTTGAGCCACGCTCTACCCCACACCCCACTCTGACAGCCGGCAGGGGTCTCCACCTACCAAGGCAACATTCCTCAAATCCTTTCACCTTCCCAGCCCACACAGGCTAGGCGTGGCCTCATCAGCAGCCTCCCCAGCCCTTGGGCTTGTCATCCCCAAGGCCTGACAGCTGGAGTGGTGCGGGTGACACGAGGTAGGGTGGCAGGGGACCAGTTTCGGGTTCTGAGGTGGCTCCCCCATCTGGCCCCCCGCTGATCCTTTGACCTGCGCTGCACACCCATCCCTTGTGTCTCGGCTCCCACGTAGGGTTTGACTCCATCACCTCCTCTCCAGGCTGGCACACTACAAACCTCAGCTACAGCCTGTCCTCTGAAGGCGCAGAGGAGCTGCTCCCAGGCCACCCTCACTGTCCCTAGCTGCTGGGACAGCTCAATAGGGTCTGACTGGGTTTCAAGGTGAGGCTTTCAGCCTGGGCCTCAGGGTGTGGCTGACATGACTGGGGTGCTCTTCCTCTCACCCGGCACTAGCAAACTGAATGTGAACGCTGTCAGCCTAGCCCAGCCGGCTGCCGACCCTGTGGGGCATGGGGACCTGCCTGTGTGCCTGCAGTGCTGGGCTGTGACCAGGTGCTCGTCAAATGAAACATTAGGCAGGTGTCTCACTCACTAGGGTGTCAGTTCAAACTCTGCTTCCAGTAGAGACGCAGAACCCCATCAAGCCCCCAGGATCTCCAGGTGAACCTGCTGCAAGCAGGCCCTTGCCCGCCGGCTTCCCTCCCTGCATGGTTCACAACGGGATGGGAGGCACTGGAGCCCTGTTCCAGCTTGGCTCAAATTCCTTCAAGTAGGGCAGGCCGTTCTCTTCTTTGCACTGAGCATACTGTGGAAAAGAGAGAAAGAGGCTGGACCAAATCACACATTTAAAATCTCTTTATTAAATGTCCCTGATTTCTCATTCAGGAAATGCCAGAGGGGCCTAGGTCCTTGTTCTGGAAGCAGGCTGAAGAAAGAGCATCCCATCTGGGCTCAGAGAGGATCAGTCAGATGCTAGGGCCTGAGCCGCCCAGACCCCAGTAAGAGCCAGCAACTCCCGACTCCTTGCAGAAGGGGAGCCGGCAAAGACTGGAACCCGCTCACAGAGATGAGGGGCAAAGTCCTGGGCCCCAAGCCCGCCGCACCCTCCCTGGCGTGCTGGCGCTGTGGGTTTCCACCGCTGGGCATCCGCTTCATCTGCAGAGACAAGAAGGTTGGAGAACCATGAGGCCTGCCGCAAAGACTCACTGGCGTGAACACATGGCCAGGGGCTGTTACACGAAGGCCAGTCGCCAGTGTGGCAACAACAAACAACCTGGGTTCCCACCCCTGACCTCACTGTGAGCCGTGAGCCTCTGCAGTAGCTGCCCGTTCTGGCCCACACCACTGACCCAGAAGATCCCTGGGGAAGGATGTCCCTTGGATCCCAAACCCCAAAGGCCATTAGTCACCTGACTTACAATATGGAAAGGTCTGAACAGTGGGTGGTTTTGAACTTCCTGGCCAGGCACTCCTGGTCTTCCTGCATAGCCCCCACTTTAAAGCCCTGGACCAGTCTGGTGGCCACCAAAGGGAACAAACATCTCTTGGGTCTCTTCTAGCCCTGACATCCTGGCACTTAGGGGCAGGGACACATGGCAGTCTGTGCAGGGAGGTGCCCCTCAGCAACTGGAAGGGTCTGACCCCTCGCTCCCAGCCTGCAGGTGACAAGGCAGCTCCTGCAGCTTCACAGGTGCTGGGAGGAAGCTTGAGTCCCCAGTGAGACAGAGAGTTGGTGATTCACAGCAGCAGCAGCAGCCAGAGCACTAGCCCCAATTCCCCTGGGGTGCCAGGTGGGGCCACACTGGCTCCCTGCTCTGCAGGGAGAGGCTACTGCTGCCCTCCCCACACCAGGCTGTCCCGAACAATCCCAAACAGATATAGTGTGGGCCAAAGGAAAGCCAGTGCCTCACTTCCAGAACTGCAGAAACACAAGACTCATGGAAAAGAACTGTCTCCTGAGGGCAGCTGCGTGGAGGCTCGCGTGTTTGGTGCCTGGGCTCAGACAGAGGAGCTCTGGGTCTGCTGGAGGCCCTGATCTTCAAGAAAGGCGTGGTGTGAGCCTGCCACCCCGAGGGATCTAGGGGCTCTGCTGCCCTGCCTTGACCACGCCAGGCCACCTGACCATACCCACAGCCACACCAGCGAGGACACAGGGCCTTCCCTCCCTCCAACCTACCTGGCTCCACTGGGTGAGCCTGGTCAAGGAATTCTGCCCCCTGCCTCTGTATTGGATGGACCTAATACCCCCTATGGCACTCCTCCAGACTTTGACTGGGTGAAGGCACTGTGTTCTCCGAGCCACACAAGTGGTCTCAGCGTGGGGACAGAGTACAGGAGCAAGAAGGCACTGCTGGCCACCTTGGGCTGTAGCCATGTGGACACAGAGATGCCCTGCCCTCCCACCCACAATGCTGACTGGTGAGCGCCAAGGGGGTGGTGCGCACACACTCCAGCACACAGGGAACACCCACTCTCTGGGGTGGACTTAGCCAAGATCAAACCCAAGGCTCCTGCTCCTCAGGGTGCTGCACAAGCAGGTGCTGGACAGAGGAGCCCTCACACTGGCAGGCTCCACTGCTGCCACTGCAAGCGGGACCCAGGTCCAGCCTCTGGGCCCAGCCCCAGCTCTGTCCCAGGAGCCCAGCCAAGGCTCAGTCAGGCCTGGGCAGACCCCTGGGGCAACACACAGTAGGAGGGAAATCCCTGCCAATTATGCCCTGTGCAGAGTCGCTGCCACACAAGCAGGCTGATCGAGGCTTGGATGAGAGAAGTATAGGGAGGTGAGGTGTCCAGCCAAACCACGTGGGAGTGGGCACAGCCCTGACTTCCCAAAGGCAGCAACCAGGGACCTGGAGTCTGCCCATCCCGACCCCCCTCCATCCTCCTCCTCCCTGATGCTCAGACCACAGGACCATACTGCAGGCCAGAGCTCCCAGGATGGAAGGAAAAAAAACGATCGGGAACATCTCTCCCTGGCCCCTGGCCTGTGGTTACCACTTGGGGTCACTGCCTCTCTCAAGGCTGCCCTCTCTACATAGCCCTTCCCAGGTTCCAGTGATCACTCCTCCCTTCTTCTAAGGGTGTGGTCATCATCAGGGCACCCCACACTCCGCTCCCACCTGTGAACTATGCCCTGACCACCCCCCCAGACCCCCAGACTGGAGTGCGCTGTTTCTGGCAGAAACGGGACTGACACAAGAGCCTGCCCCGGCTCCCCACCTGACAGAAGTCCTGGCTCTGGGTTTGGAGGCTTGGACAGATCAATGTGTCCCCATGGCCCCCATGTACCTTGGGTCCCAGCCTAGTGCAAGGCCTCTCTCTAAAGGCCTTCAGTCGGCTCCAGCCCACTGGCTGGCCTTCCAGGGTTCCGAGTCCAAATGGCTAAAGCCAGAACCTCACCCTCCAGAGAACTCCTCCTTTATGACTTCACCCACTGAAACCACCTTGGAGATAACAATGAATGTTCCAACCCAGAGTCCAGGCCTCGAGGAGGCAGGACAGCAGGCCCAGGCAGCCCCAAGGACTCTGTCTGCAGTGTGGACAAGAACGCCACCGGCCCATGCCTCACGGGTCCGTGGAGGGCAGCCTCAGAGATACTGGGTGCTCTGGGCACCATGGATGACGCTGCCGTCCTCAAGCGGCGAGGCTACATCATGGGGATAAACTTGGGAGAGGGCTCATACGCTAAAGTCAAATCTGCTTACTCCGAGCGCCTCAAGTTCAACGTGGCGGTCAAAATCATTGACCGCAAGAAAGCCCCTCCAGACTTCTTGGAGAAGTTCCTTCCCCGGGAAATTGAGATTCTGATCATGCTAAACCACCACTCCATCATCAAGACCTACGAGATCTTTGAGACCTCAGAGGGCAAGGTCTACATTGTCATGGAGCTCGGGGTCCAGGGCGACCTCCTTGAGTTCATCAAAACCCATGGAGCCTTGCATGAAGACGAGGCTCGCAAGAAGTTCCGCCAGCTCTCCTCGGCTGTCAAGTACTGCCACGACCTGGACATTGTCCACCGAGACCTCAAGTGCGAGAACCTGCTCCTCGACAAGGACTTCAACATCAAGCTGTCAGACTTTGGCTTCTCCAAGCGCTGCCTGCGGGATGACAGTGGCCGGCTGACCCTGAGCAAGACCTTCTGTGGGTCGGCAGCATACGCAGCCCCAGAAGTGCTGCAGGGCATCCCCTACCAGCCCAAGGTCTACGACATCTGGAGCCTGGGCGTGATCCTCTACATCATGGTCTGCGGCTCCATGCCCTATGACGATTCCAATATCAAGAAGATGCTGCGAGTGCAGAAGGAGCACCGCGTCAACTTTCCGCGCTCCAAGCACCTGACTGACGAGTGCAAGGACCTCATCTACCGCATGCTCCAGCCGGATGTCGGCCGGCGGCTGCACATCGACGAGATCCTTGGCCACTGCTGGGTGCAGCCCAGGACCCAGGTCCTGTCCTCTGCAGCCATCAACAAGGAGGCGGGGAGCTCCCGGGGCGCTGAGCCCTTGAAGACCCCCGAACCTGGCTCTGACAAGAAGTCGGCCACCAAGCTGGAGCCCCGGGAGGAGGCACAGCCTGAGGTGAGGCTGGAGTCAAAGTCCAAGGAAGAGACGCTACAAGTGCAGGCATCGAGGCCGTTGGAGACCGCCAGTGTCACCCTTGTAGGCCAGCAGCAGAGCAGGGAGACAGTGGAAGGGGGCTCCCTGCAGCCCCCTGACACACACACCTAGTGAGCCTCTCTCAGGGCCCAGGGGCTAGCAGGAGATGAGAGATGAGGCTCAGGGCTTCAAGCCCGCGGGCTGCAGAGAAGCCAAGGGACGCAGCAGTGAAGGACAGTCCCGGATGAGCCACTATTTTTGTCAGTTTCCTTTCCCTCCCTTAGAACATGGCTAAAGAAGCAATAAATCACTATATTAGTGCATATACTGGGTGAAGAATGACTTAGTTTTGTACAAAACACAGCTCGGCCCACATCACTGTCCTCCTCTCCCCTGGGCTCTGCCTTTGAATCAGTGCACACAGAGCTCACCCTCCATGGCTCTGCTGCAGGATTTAGCCTGTGGTTCTCTGGAGCTTGTCTCCTGCACCCTCAGTTCCTCAGGGCAGGGTTCCTTGCCCCTTACTGCTCTCTATTCTTTATTCCCTGTAGCTGCTTTGCCTCCACCCGCCACTCCCCCTGAGTTTCATCTTCAACTTTTTGTAAGTCTGTTTCAGGATATGGTAATACAAAATTACCAATAATGGGCTTGGCCCAGAGCAAACACCCAGGAAGCCCCAAACAACTTTGGCACAGACATGACTCTTCTGATTTTGCACCCCAATCCAGTGCTATTTGCCTTATGTCGCTACACAGTACCCTACCTGACACGTGGGTACTATGACTGAAAATCTGAGTGTAAACGTTTAATGTGGCAAGTGGCTGCCGGGGGGCTGAGCAGATCCACACGGGGCCCCGCACACCAGATTCTGAAGGGAACAAGCTACTGTCTGAAATTTCTATAACCTGGCCCTGGGTGCAGCAGGGCCAGGCCTCAAACCGTTTCAGAATGTTCTTGCAAGCGCTGTAGGAATGCACAGGGTCACTCCAGACCCAAGCACGCTGGAGGCTTGCAGCCTGCAGACCGCCGCAGTTTAGTTAGCCCACATGGGTTTCTTTCAGGAGCCTGGCACAGGTAACCGACTGATGGCGGGAAGGAGCCTGGGAAGCGGCAGGCTCATCAGGCACTCGAGTCCCTCTCTGCCATTCCAGCGCAGAGGATCCTAAACTTACCAGTCCCAGGGGTTATCTGTGTCATCGTGTCATTGTACAAGACAGCCTTTCTTCCACATTCTTCTACAGGTCAGCACACTCTGTGGGATTACAGGCAAGACACAGAAGTAGGTTCGGTTATTACTGACACGTGAACTACCACGGAGGCACAGCAGGCCCGGTGCTGGAGGTGCTGGGAGGCAGCACTCCAAGCGCGTGTCGCGGGACCCCATGCCCAGCGCGTCCACTACCCTCCCAGGCCGCACGTGTCCTCGGAGCCCAGGTGGAGACTTCCTGCAGGCCAGCGCACCTGCTGCGTCAGGCCGCGAGGGCCCTCGACTCTTACCCAGTCTTAGCAGATGGCGGGCCCCGCCTGGGATCCCGGATGGCCTCGGATGAAGAACATATCCGGGAGAGTCCCGCCGACACAAGACCTTACCGTGCGCCATGACTGCCACCACACACGCCACACGCGCCGCGCGCCTGCGTCATCACGCAGCCCTCCCAAAGCCGCCTGCTGCGTCACACAGTCAGCGCCCTAAGGCCGCGCGCGGCCCGGGAGGTGACGTTACGGGGGGGGGGGGTGTCTCTGGGCGAGACGTGGAGGGCGGTTGCCGCGCGCCTCGGTCGTACTGGTGAGGACTGGGCTCAAGGCTAGTGCTCGGTGCGGCTGGGCGCGCCGTGAGCCTGCCAACCCGGTCGTGGACTGGGACCCAGGACGGCGAGAAAGCTGGTAGAGAAACCTGTGAACAGCCAGGGGCGGCCTTGCGAAGGAAAGGAGATGTTGGTCGGCCCTTTTCCAAGTAACAGGAGGACCCCTTTGCTTTCAGAATTCCATTCTTTGCTCTTTTCAAGTGAAATCTCTAAAGGCTAAATAAGTTCGCAGCTGGTTTCACAACCCGGAAGTATTTCCCAAGGACTCCGGCGCCCTCACTCTGACCGTCTCCGGGAGTCCTGGGAAGGCAAGGGCCCAACTTGGCACTTGACTCCAAATCGCACGACCTCCCAGCACCTTCTGCAGGCAGAGGAGGAGTGCTCAAGGGTCCAGCTCCATCCCGCAGAGCAGGAAATGAGAGAATACGGAGCCGAGAGGCAATACACTGGCAGCTGGCATAGGATCCCTTACTGAAAAAACGGTCGAGACAAACATTGTTTTTTTTGGTGTCGGTTTACACTCTGTGCTGCAGGATTCTTGCTGGCATCTTGGTGTAGTTGGCAAGGTAGTGGACCTGCTGCTGCCGACTCCAATTTGCATTGTGCAAACCACCCGATTCTAGCTGACTGTTAGGTGTTTACTCTGTTTCATTCAGATAGGGTCTGGACGTGTGAGTTTGCAGCCTCGGGAGCTTCCCGGGTGTAACTTGAAACTGTCCGCCAACGTGGAGGGCAGGGAGACACTGAAGAAAGAGGCGGGACACCCCGGGTTGGCAGATGGCAGGTTTAATAAAAGAATGAAACCAGGTTCTCATCTTCCTGTTAGGACCGCCCTTCCAGCTGCCCCCGCCTCTCATCCTCTGAGACCCCTCCCTCCCCGGGCCCGTTCTCCCTTCTATTACCCCCTCCCATGTGCCCCGCCCTTCTCGCAGGCCCCGCCCCATGCCCCCCACCCAGCTTTTCTCATCGGCTTGAGCTTGGCCTCCGGAGCGCAAGGCAGGCCAGGAAGTTGGCAGTCGTAAAGATGGCGGCGGAATCGAAAAGCTGGAGACGCTCCCGCGGCTCCAAGAGACAATGGGCGGGCTAAGGGTGAAATAGGGGCGTGACAGGCGCGCTCCCAGCTCAGAAGGGGCGGGGCGGGGCTGGCGCGACTAGCCGAAATGAAAGGTTGGGGGCGGGGCGTGCGGGGGGCGGGGCCGCGCCCTCGGCCCGGAAGTGCGGGGTGCGGACGGCCCCTGGCGGCCGCGGGCGGAGACGGCAGCAGGGCTGGCGGGCGGAGCAGGAACGCGGCCGTGGTGGCCGCGGGGCCCGGGAGAGCATGTAGCGGTCGCGGGGGGCGCGGGGCTCCCGGGGCGGGCCGGGCCGCGGGGACCACTCGCGGCGACATGGAGGAGGAGGGCAAGAAGGGCAAGAAGGTGCGTCCTCCGGAGGGCCGGGCGGGGGGCGGCAGGGCCGGGCTCCGGGGCACAGGGAGGCTCCCGCGGGCTGGCCTTCGGTCTGCCGGCGCCGGGCGGCCGCGGAGGGCGGTCCGCGCCGGGGGTGAGCGTGGCAGGCAGGCCCGGCCGGGTGGGCGGCGGAGCGGGTCCCCGCGGAGGGTAGGAGGCGCGCCCCGGGACAATGCCGTTAGGGGGTCCTCTGCCAGGCGGCGCAGCGGGGGAGGAAGGGGCCACGCCTTTCCGCCCCTTCCGGCCAGTGACTCCCCCAAACCCAGGCTCTCCACATGGCCTGTCCCGGGGTAGTGCCCAGGGATGCAGAGGAGCTGGCCCTGGGTGCGGGTCAGAAAGTCCCCGGGCTGGAACTTTAGGGACAGTGGGTGTAAGCTTAAGGTACGACCTTTGGCTTATTGTGTCTTCAAGTTTTGGATTCAGAGTAAAACCAGAAGCTGCGCCCCAGGTGCGGCCGGTTCACGGGTTGGGTTTTTTCCGCCTGACACCATCCGAGTGATCTTAGTGACCTTAGGTTCGCAACTGGATTTGGGACATAGGGCAAGAGGCTCCTCAGTTTATGTAGGTTTTAAGATGTGGCTTTAATTGCGGGGTAGAGTGGTTGATAAAGAAGCTCAACGTTTTAAGGAGATCGGAATAACCACGTGGGAGAAGCTATCATTAAAATGGAAAATGGGTTTCAATGAAATGTATATTTTTCAAATACAGGCTTTATAACCTGCTTAAGTGTCTTCCCTATCATTTTTGGTTTAGTAAACGTGTATGTGCATGCACTTTCATGTTCAAGTGTGAAACAAAGCATGGTTAAGTCCTATGATGTTACATCAGAGGCAGCTGTGTCCATCAGTTGAGCCGCTTGCCACCTGCCCTGTAAGGTGCCCCCTGCCCAGGGTCGTGTGGCGCTGCCTCTCTCGCTGTGTTTGCTTGTTCTGTGTTGTGAGCAGCATGTCCAGCTTCAGTGTGGCAGCAATAACCTGCAAAGATGTTTGCGTCTGGAAGATGGCCCAAGGAAGCGAGCGGTTCAGCCTGAAGCTCGAGTCTGCAGGGGGATGCTGCCCACTGCAAAGCGGGCAAGCTCTCAGTTTTGAACCAAAGCTGGTAGAAGGCCCTAGAAGGAATTCAGTCAGTTCCCTCCTTCCTTGCACAGAGAACCATGGCGGCCCAGGCCTGTACAGGAGGTGGCCTGTCCCCAGCACTCGGGCCCACCAGCTCAGTTCCATCAGAGCACCAGTCCCTGCCACCGTCTTCCACAGTCAGGCCAAACACCCTTCCCCTCTGCTCAGGATAGTCGTGGGTTAGCACCCACGGGGGCAGGATGGGATTGACTGAGTTTCTTTTAACCTCCTATCAGCTTTGGTAGGAATGTTACACCATTTAGCAACATTGAAAGAGAAAGAAGCAGACATTCCCAAGCTTTTGGACTAGAAGTGAAAAAAACAGTAAACTCACCAACTCTGGAGCTGGGGCAGTGGAAAGGTGTAGGCACAAAGGTTGCTGACGAGCCCATTAGAGGAGCTTCATTGTCTGGTGAGAGGATATATAGTTGCCTTGGGCAGGAGCGAGTGTTTTCTCTGTTCTGCCACTGCCCTAGTTTGTTTTCCCACAGGCAGCTGTGCAGGGCTCTGGGACAGGGGTTCCTGTTCAGGCCACCACTCAGCACACTTTCCTAGTGCTCTGTTCCACTTGCAAGTCTGTGCAACCTTCTTGCTCTGCTCCCCCATTTGATGCGAGGTCACCTCCAACTCCTAAAACTTGGTGTTAGGTCGTTTTTTTTTTTTTTTTTTTTAGATCTTATTTATTTATTTTTAGAGAGAGGGGAAGGGAGGGAGAAAGAGAAACATTAGTGTGTGGTTGCCTCTCACATGGCCCCCACTGGAACTAGGCCCACAACCCAGGCATGTGCCCTGACTGGGAACCGAACTGGTGACCCTTTGGTTCTCAGCCCGTGCTCAATCCACGGAGCCACACCAGCCAGGGCAGTGTGTTAGGTCATTTTTGTGTGGCAAACTAACCAGAGATGCTGTTCTAAAACATTCACAGGTTCAAGCTGAAACAGCAGAAATAATGACCAAAGAGATTTATGAAAGTACAGCTGGACATTTGAATTCTCTTCCCAAGTTAGCTCCCTCACAAGATGCATACTTAACCCTTTAAAAGCGTGGACCACGGGCCCTGTCAGGTCCTCAGATACTGGCCTTGCTACTCATCAAGCAGTTGCCAAGGCGTGTTCTAACGTGGCCCAATTGCCCTTGATGGGGTGGCGAGCTGCCAGAGAACCAGCAGAACCAAGGGGGCTTCGCATAAGGTGGCCCCAGGCACAGTCCTATTCTTTCTGAGGACACGCTGGCATATAGGGTGAGGGTGACTGGAGCCCCTGCCATTCCCGTGGAAGCCGCTGGGTGATGGGGATGCAGGAGGAGCCTGCCTGCCAGAAGGTGGGTGGCTGAGAGCATGCCTGGGGTGAGCGTGGGGACAGAGACGTGAGCTGGGTGCTAGTGGCCTGGGGCCACTCCTGCCTGGAGGTCTCAGAGGGACTGGTGCCTTGCAGACCACAAGTTCTGATTTGGGGGTTTAGAGAATAAACCTGCCTTCTCACAGAAAGTCCTGTGAGCTTTTGACACCATTCTGTCAGGATGTAACTCCTTTTTGTAAGAAACGTCACTGCACACTTGAGTCGGATTGTGTGCATTTTTATAAAGATGTGTGACTCCGTGGAGGATTACAGCCCGTGGGCAGTCGCCGCTATGGGAAGTCACCACCCGGCTCAACGCTGTTTGGGTCCCGGCTCCTCCTGCTGGGGCTGCTGTTAGGCTGCTGGTCGCTCCACGGTTGGCCAGGAATTCAGCCTGAACAAAATGAAGCATTTCTGCATTGATCTAGTTTATTTGCAGTCTTCAAAAAGAACAGTTATGCGGCACCCTGGAAATGTAGGACTGGGTCTGAGATGGTGATGAGGGGTCATTCATTTTCTCATGTTCAACGTTTGGGTTTGCCATGTTCCAGTCTTGGAGATGCTGAGATTTTATAGGTGAGATTATAGGGTTTGTGAGATTGCTGGTATTCGCCCAGAAATGGGAGATGGCTGAATGTTTTGGCAGTGGGTGCTCATTGCTCGTTATTCTGTACTTGTGTGAATTTTCTTTTTTCCATATAAAAAGTGGGGAGAAGAGTCCTGTAGATTATGGGTCCTGAGTCACCAGCCCCTGTACCTGCTGCTCTTCTGTTGGGTGGTGCGTGGGGCACCAGGAGGTAGGCTGAGACCAGCACCTTTTAAACTTTCATGACTGCAGCCCCAGGCAGCTGTCCCTCACCTTCACGGGGTGTGTGTGTGTGTGTGTGTGTGTGTGTGCGCGCGCAAATGTTTGTATAGCTGAAATGGAAGTTGGAGGTAGTACCTCTTCCAAGCCATGTGCTCTGATTGCTTAAAACTGTTATGTTTTCATTAATGAGACTATGGGCCATGACCTGCTAAATTGCTCTCATAGCTAAACTGATCCCACAGCTGTGACTGGGCTCACGAGGTAACTCCGAGCCTCCACGCCTTGTTTTGTCTTTGCTCTCGTGTACTCCTCACTATGATTCTTGGTGGCAACGTGGTGCCCCAGGGCGAGGAGGCTGCAGGAGTGGGGCAGAGGTGCCCAGGTCAGGTGGCCCTTAGACCGGTTCAGAGTGACTAGCAAATGGCAGGCTCATCACGCTCTGGTTCGTTGGAGAGTTCCCATCAGAGCGTCATGTGTTCATTAATTTTCAACATAAGGAAGCATCGAGTCCCTGCTCCCCCTCTATCAGCATCTGTGACCTCCTGACCCCCACAGTGGGGACTTAGAATGCACATGGGGACCTTCCTGTGCTCTGTCACTTCTGGGAGTGTCCTTTGAGAGGAGGCTGGTGGCCAGGCAAACGTTCGTCTTGGCACCAGTGCTGCAGTGGGGCTGCTCCAGAGGGAGAGGCCAGCAGCATCAGGCAGTAGGGTCAGGAACGAGCCCCTTCTGTACCCCGTATGTTTGCCCCTGCAGTTACTTTGGTGCCAGTAACACCCTGCCCTGCTCACCTGCTTTTGCTGCTGAGTTAGGAGCCACGGTTAAGCCTGGATTGGCTGATCAGCCTGAAGTCACCTTCGCTGTCACCTTGCATGCCACTGACATGCTTTGTGCAGCGAGGAGAGGGCTGAGGGCAACGCGTCTCGCTTGGAAAGCAAGCTGCTAACACACACAGAGGCCGTGCTCTTGTGTCAAGAGAGACCCGTGGGGGCTGCCTTGCAACCTGCAGAGCTGGGGAGGTGGGGTGAGGCCCGAGGGGCGTCTGGCTTGCACCTCAGCACAGCTGAAGCGACTGCAGCTCGTCATCTGTTTCTCCGAGGACTGTTTCCCAGCACTGATTGGCTGCTCGGCACACAGGCGGGGGACAATGAGCTCTGGGGCCGCAGACCCTCCATGGGGCCCAGAGGACAGGCAGAGGGTCGTTAGAGAGTGAGTAAGGAGTCTCTCAGTTACGGAGACATCGAGTCCAAGTGCAGAATCTTGTGATGTCCCCTTGGGCCCCAGCCTCACATAACACCAGTGTGTGACAGCTTGGTTCAGGTGCATGAGTGCAGCTGCCCCTGCTCCCAGGCGCAGTGAGCTGGGTGGCCGTGCCCCCCCACATTCCTGTGTGGAGGCCTAGCCCCCAGCACTTGGGCAGGGCTGTTAGGAGATGAGGTTAGATGGGATCATCGGGGTGGCCCCCATCGCATATGACCTCCGTCTTTATCAGAAGAGGAAGCTTGGACAAAGGGCCACCCCAGGATGGCATGCAGCAGGAGGACCGTGTGAAGCTGGGAGAAGGCCTGTCTCCTCACCCCAGAGAGTGGCCCTGGGGACCCAGCCCTGCCTGCACCTGGCATGTGACCCCCAGCCCTGGAGGTTAGGGCTTTTGGCTGCAGGAGCCCCAGTCTGTGGTCCTCAGTCCTAGTGGACTAGGGCAGCAGGCGATTTCAAAGCAAGCCCAGGGTGCCGGGCTATGTGACAGGAATCTGGTGCAGTGGCCCTGGGCTAGGACCGTGGCTGGGGCATAGTCTCTAGCCTGGAGGTCTGAGGACCTGGTCTCCACAGCTGCCTCTGACATGGTGGGGTGACTCAGAGAGGCAGGGCCACCACAGAGCTCTGTGCCGTTGCTGTCCTGAGCACCGTGGGCAATGCTGGCACTACCCTGGCAGGAGCAGTGCTCAGGTTTCCTGGGTCGCAGTGGCTGAGAGAGCTGAGACAGGAGTTGCCGACTGAGCAGAAACACAGATGTGTGTTCTTACCCTGAGCCAGTGGCGGCACGTCGCGGTTTCTCAATGCCTGCGAGGTGTGGCAGTGGGGCTGAGATTAGACACCCGATCATGGGTACAGAGGAGCGCGGTGAGTGTGATCCTCTGTAGTAAGTAGGAGCTAGGAATCGGGCTTTTGTTCGAGGCTTACAAGGCTTATGTGGCTGCACACGCAGGGGATCTTGTGGCCCAGGAGGGGGAGCAGCCATTGAATCCGGAAAGTGGGGGAAGACGGACGGACACTGACTGAGGTGTTGCTGCTGCTCCCCAAAACCTGGTGTGGGTGTCCCTCACCGGTAGGAGGGGCCGTCTTGCCTCTGCCATTACTCTTGACATGGGAGGAAACTTATTGATCCTGAATCTACAGTTTGAAACTCCATGCTAGTTTTCCCCCAGAAATGCAGTGGTTTGGGATGTTCTGCTTACATGGTGGGGTGCAGTTTGTTCCTTCCACGCCTTGCACAGACCTGCATGTCAGGTGTGCTGCCCTCCTTGTCACCTGTCAGGAAATGCTCCAGCTCTGACCGTCTCTCATTGCTGCCAGTCACTGTGTCACTTGAAATAGCTCTCCCATTTTACGTTCAGAGGCTGACCTGCGCCTTGAACCCTCAGTGTCGGGCCCGCTTCAGGCTCGGTTCCACATCCTTCCCCTAATGCTGAGTCTTGGCTCCTCCTTGCAGGTGGAGTGTACAGCTGTTCTCTGCTTTTTCCAGCCTCACTCCATGTCATTACGTAAAATTTTGAATTCCTGTCTCCTTACCGCCTGGATCCATCACATTTGCTGCACTGGTGTTTCCCTGCACGGCCCTTCTCACCCCCACACCCAGCAGCCTGCCTCACCTTCCTGCGCGTGTCACGCAGACTCACCTGGTCTGCCACTTAAGCAGGCGCTCATTAACTAGAGCTCAGTATTTGGTGACAGTTGTCGCTTGCTGCAAGATACATTCACCGTATGTGTACGCCAGCTAAATTCTGATAGGTGCACACACCTGTGTGACCTACACCCTGCTGTCACCCAGGAAGTCCCTGTGCCTCTTAGGAGGCCCCTCCCTGGGCAGCCACTGCTCTGCCCCCCTCTGCCGAGAGCAGTCTGTCTGCGTCAGAGCCACCTGCCCCAGGCCTTCACCTGCACTGGTGCACATGGCAGTGTCCTTCTGGGCAAGGCCCCTTTGACTCAGAAGCCCGCTCTGGGGTCCCCCCAATTCGCAGGCATCACGCCGGGGATATTCTTTGTGCATCTGCCACTGCTGGTTCTCTACTGACCTATGCTGGACGGTTGGGTTCGGAGCAGTTCGGAGTGACTAGGAGAAGCTGCAGGGACATTTGTGAGCAAGTCAGCGTGGGCACATTGTCATTTCCTGGGTAGACACCCGATGACGGAATTGCTGGGTGATGTGGTGACTGTACTTGGGGTCCCGCACAAATGTACTTTGTTTTTACTACAGATCTTTTATCATGAAATCACAAGCATGTAACTCTGGGACATCAACAATCTCACACTCAAGCACACCACATGACATTTCAGGCGCACTGTTCACATGGCTGTCCCTCTCCTGCAAGACAGGTGCCCAGCAGGCCCTCCTGCCACCGGCCTGCGCCTGCTGCGTGCTCCCTGCAGATCCTGTCGGTTCTGGGGGCCGGTTAGAACCTCCAGTTACCGTTTTGGGTTCGTTTTCCCTGCAGTGCTGTTAGTTTGGGCTGCATGTGTTTGCAAGGCTCAGTTCTTCAGTGCATGCACATTTAGGGTCGCTTTGTCTTGTTGAAACAACTCTCTTCCACAATGAAACAGCCGCCTTTATTCTGGGCACTGTTCCTTGCTTTGGAATCTACTCCATCTGATGTTAATGTAGCCACACCAGCTTTCTTATGCTGCACATTTGCAGGGTGTGTCCTCGCAATGTCTACAGCTCTGTGTTTAAACTGCATCTTTTATAAACTGTGTTGTATAGGTAGTTGTCACATCTCACTTTTTATCTCATCCACTACTTCTGCCATTGACCTTTAGTATAATTTTTTTTTTAAGATTTTATTTTGCCCTGGCTGGTGTAGCTCAGTGGATTGAGCGCGGGCCTGCGAACCAAACAACAGTGGTTCAGTTCCCAGTCAGGGCACATGCTTGGGCTGCAGGCCAGTTCCCAGCAGGGGCCTCATGAAAGGCAACCATACATTGATGTTTCTGTCCTTCCCTTCCCTTCTAAAGATAAATAAATAAAATCTGTATAAAAAAAGATTTTACCCTGGCTGGTGTGGCTCAATGGATTGAGTACTGGCCTGTGAACCAAGGGTTGCAGGTTCAATTCCTAGTCAGGGCAAATGCCTGGGTTGTGGACCAGGTCCCTAGTAGGCACGCAGAGGCAACCACACATTGATGTTTCTCTCTCTCTCTCTCTCTCTCTCTTTCTCCCTCTCTGTCTCTCTGCAAAGTTATTTTCAGAGAGAGGGGAAGAGAGGGAGAGAAACTTGGATCCTTTGCCTTTCGTGTGCCCCCGACTGGGAAATGGGAATGAACCAGTGATCTTGCTTTGTGGGACGATGCCCCGCCCTGAGCCAAGCCAGTCAGGCCAGTATAATTACTGATACAGATATGGCTGTGTTCATCTGCTCTTTTGCTGTTCGTCTTCAGTTTCGTCTTGTGCTTTGTTCTTCCTTGTCTGTCGTCTTCTGGGTTGCGTATTTTCAGCGCTCCATTCTGTTGTGAAGTGCCTGTTAGCTGGCTCCCTCTGGGCAACAGTGTGCTGCCCTGTCCCTGCGAGGCCGCAAAGTGATGCTGTGCCAGCTCTTGTCGATGGGGGCTTCTCGGTCATTCTGCTCACATGTCCCCTGGCACATCGACACATGTTTGCTTTATCTCAGCTACTCCTGTGTGTGCTGTCAACCCAACTCGACAGGGTATTTGCTGGAAACAACCGATTTTCCATGCCTGTCTGTTGAAATAACTTCAAAAGTACATGGCAGTTGCAGGAGCAGCCTGCAGATGTCCACCCAACACTAGCTGCTAACTGTCCCGACCCGAGGAAGACCCTGAGGGCTCGGCACCATTTCCAGCCTCGCGTGCTGAGACCGACTTCTGCCAGGAGGCTAGTGTAGGTCCATCCTCATCTCAGACCCGGACCCCCACACGGGTGCCACCCCGCCCCTTGCTGGTGCTGTGGGGGTGCTCGCTGCTCCTGGGAGCTCTGGCTGCCTTCCATGGGGAAGGTGTTTAGAAGCCACAGTCCAGGCTGTTGTGGGGCTCGCTGCTGCCAGGTGTGCGGGCACCCTGCACCCCTGAGCCTACAGCCTCTTCTGGGGGAGCACCCTGGGGCTGTACACTCCCTGATGGACGGGCACCTCTAGGGGCTCTTTTCTCCACTGAGCTTTGGCAGACCTGTCATTCTTTCCATTCAAGGCTGACCGGCACCTTCTCCTGTGGGTCACTGTGCCTCCCTCTCACAGCAGCCTGTTTGCTCCAACTGGCAATGCAGACGCAGCCTGTGGCTGCCCTTGCTTGCATCCAGGTATCTGCGGCGTCAGCTCCCGAGGTGCACTCTGCTCAAACTCAGCTGTCATTTTGGCAGGTGCTGGCAAACTGCCCGTGCTGCCGCAGTGGCACCAGTTTGTATTCTTCTTTAAAAATTTGTTTTCATTTTATTTTTTGGTATCTTTCCGGTTTTTATTAACAACAGTGAATGAGAACACTTGTTTTCTAGGAACCTCACCCACATAGCATGTTAGCAAAGGGTGGGGTGTTTGCCTAGCCGGTAGATGAAAATGGCAGTTGCTGATAATTTTGGATTTTATTTTCCAAATGAACTTAAAATTTCTTTCTTAAAAAATTTATACCTCAAAAAAAAACCCCAACAAAATATACTCAAGGAGAAGTAATGAGAAGCCCCCGTCCACTGGAGACAGCCATCACCGGCGCTTCTCTGCGCGCACCCAGATCCGTGTCTGCACCCACCGGCACGCTTCCTCCTGGTGGTCTCAAACGCTCCCTTCCTGCTTGCTCACTGGGCTCTGTGCTTCCTGGGGAATCTCCCTCACTGTCTGGGGGCATCTTAGTGCCTCGAGGTGGAGAGAGCCCTGTGCTGTTTCAGGGGGCGGAGGGCAGTGGTCTCACCAGCTTGCATCCCCATTGCGTGCCCCTGCCCACCTGCGGAGTCACTCGTCCGAGGGCACCGTTTCTGTCACTGCTTCTGGCATGCGCAGGACCAGGCAGGGCAGGGGCCATCATTGAGGTAAGTCAGGAATGGAGTCGCCTGGTAGGAGGCCGAGGAGCTGAGTCCCTGGTTCTGGAGATTCTTCTGGAGGTCCCACTGTGATTTTTTTTTTTTTTTAAATTTCAGAGAGAGGGTATGTGAGGCAGAAAGGGAGAGAAACATCCACATGAGAGAGAAACATCAACTGGCTGCCTTCCGAATGCATCCTGACTAGGGGTCGAACCTGTAACCCAGGCATGTGCCCTGACTGGGAATTGAACCGGCCACCTTTCTTTGCAGGATGACATCCAACCAACGGAGCTTCACCAGTGGGGCCCATTGTGTTCTAATGCTTGTTATAAGGAGCTGTCAGTGGTCCCGTTTTCTGGGGAGTTTTGTTTTTGTTTTTTAAAATTTACTGATTTGAGAGAGATAGAGAAAAACATTGATTGTTGTTCCACTTACAACGTTTGTGGGTGGAGGCTTGTATGTGCCCCAGTCGTGGATCAAATCGGAACCGCTGGCATGTCAGGACGATGCCACAACCACTGAACTGCCTGCCCAGAAAACTGGTATGTGATTCTAAAAGTCATTTTATTTTGAAATGATTCCAAACTTTAGAAAAGCTGCAAGAATGGTGTGAGGAATGCCTGTGCCTCTCTGCTGAGTGTGCACTCGGGGCAGGTCTGCTAGGAAGCCAGGGCAGAGTGCGCTGCCTGTCCCCCCGCCGCCTCGGCAGTTGCTGGGCCTCCGTGTACGCCGCTCCTGTGTGGCTGCTGTGGTGTGCTCACCTGCCTTCGCACAGTGAGGGCCAGGCTGGCCACACGGGTCCCTTCTGGACGCTTGTCGCCGGTAGCCAGGCTGCTGTGGGGCTGCTCCCAGTACTGCTTCCTGTGGGCACAGGACAGACTCTGCGGACCTGACGCGCCAGCCAGGTGGCGCATTTGACCCCAGGAGGAGCCCAGATGGCGCCCCTTGGCCAAGGTGTCGTGTGCTGGGCTGTGGGTGGCTCATGGGCACTGGTACAGACAAGTGCAGCCTTCGAGGTGGTGACCAGGTAAGGTCCTGCCCGGCCTCCCGGGGTCAGGCCTGTGGCCACCCACTCACGGAGGTATCTGGGTTTTGTCCTGAGGAGCAGTGGTCTTCCCACCTCCCGGGGGTCTTTTTCGGAAGGAGACTCCTGCGAAACAGACCAAAACCAGTGCCTGATGTTGGGGTGCAATGACGGCGCATGACTGTCTTCCTCCCTGAGTTGATTTCTGGTGCGATCCCAGTGAGAGTGCCACCGGGCGCTTTCTGGAACTAGACCCCTCACCGCTCACTGGTGTTCGGAACGAGGCACAGCAGCCAGAGCACCTCTGAAACAGAAGGGCAGGAGGGGCTGTGCAGCGCTTGCCACCGCCATGGAACTCTGCCATGGGCCCGCTCCCCGGGGCCCCGGGCGCAGACAGCAGCCCCACTGCCACCACCACCCTGTCTGTCCCTGCAGAAGCGGGTCTGGGGGTGGGGTGGGGACACGTTAGACCCACCCTCTCATGGATGGCAGCAGGGTGGACAACAGGCTGGTCGGAGACATGAATAAGAACAGACAAGCCTTGTACACACAAAAGTGGGGAGGACTCTGCAGGGACCAGGGAGGTGAGGAAGCTTGCTTCCCCGTCACTCAAGCCCAGAAGCCGTGGGGCAGTGCCCACAGTCTGGTGACATCAACAGAAGTGAGAGACAGCAAATCAGGGAAGATATTAACTTATAAAGTGAAAGGTAAATATTCTTTATATAAGGCTCTTCTAGAAATAGAACCAAAACCCGTGACCTGAGAGAAAAAGCAGGCAGGAAGTGGGAACAGACAGTTCACAGGAAAAGACACGCGGGTGGGTTTTAAACGTGTGACAAGGCAGCGTACACTTGTGCGTGTGTACCTCGGTGGGAGACGCGCGGCCTGCTGGCGTCCTTTCGGGTTCATCACCGACGTTGCGTTTCCAGCCGGAAGCAGATGGCAGCTGTGGTCACCGTCCTTCCGGTGCCTCCACCAGAGCAGCAGAGACGGCGGAGCATGCACGGGGGCTGTCGGCCCAGGGGGGGCGGCCACAGCGCCCTCGCGGGAACCCCCCTTCCTGCAGATGCCCCTCGGGGCGGGCCCACGGAGAGCGAGGTGGGCGCAGGGCAGGGTGCAAGGTGATGGTGCGCCTGGGCCCTGCCCTGGGGCCGGAGGTGGGGGTTCCGGCTGTCTTTGGGGTCTGAGAACCGGGCCTGCTGGTGGCTGGCCGGGCTCGAGCACCCGAGGTCGGGAGTGAGGGGCAGCAGGTGTCACAGCTGCTGAGGACCAGAGTCTGCGTTTTCACTCGAGGTCAACAACGACCCAAGACCCGAACTGGAAAGTAACAGGGGGGAAAGGTCACGAAGAGTGCACTACTCACGGCCACCTACCCACGCCTGGAACTCCGTCCTCAACCCCTGCGAGGGGAGGAGGGAGCACGTCTCTGCAGGTCTGAGCACCGCTGCGCCCGGCTCCTTCCGCAGCCTCTGCCGCTACTGCAGAGGCCCGGCAGAGGCCCCTCGCGGTGCCTGGGCTCCATCCGGAGCCTCAGCCTCGTTGGGCTCCTACTGGGGCTGGGCGGGTCCTTTTGTCTTTCTGGGTCAAAGGTCACAAGGCCCTTCTGGCGCTGGTGAACCTGGGCATGTGGTAGAATTAAGAGGTTGCAGGGCTGCAGCCACTGGTGACAATGGTGGTCAGCTGGTCTCCCGGTGCATCAGTCCACTGCCACTTACTGGAACCGGGTGTTTCCTTTTGCTTCTCAGCCAGAACTTCCCTTTACAAGTTCACTGGCAAACCAGCATCAGCCGAAACCCTGGGGGGCCTCTCGCTAGCTGTTCCTGCGAAAACAGTCCGTGCTGGCTGGGTGTCCCATGTGGACTGAGGTGGCAGGGGTGGCTGGCTCCTCACCTGGCCAGCTGGCAGCCTCAGGGTCGGGGGTGGGAGGGTCCAGGGCCACCATGTTTACCCTCAGGCTGGCCGCCCGAGCAGTGCCTTAAGAACAGGCTGGTTGGCACTCAGCTCACCATGCAGGCACCTGGCGGCATCTCATCCTGAGTTCAGGGCCTGTCTACCTGCTATGGGCTTCTGTCCCTGGTGGGGCTGTGACCTCTGCAGGGCCTTCCTGGGGCCTAGCCCTCAGGGCCCCCAAACAGGTGTGTGTTAACCAGCCAGCTTTTACTGTGCCCCAAGGGGGTGCCCGGGGCAGGAGGGAGGTTCAAGGTAGGAGAGTGAGTCCAGACACTGCCTTTGCACACGATGCAATTTCCCTCTAGAGGAAAAGCAGTTCGAGTGCTGGTGAGCGTGTTGATAGCAGCTGCTCAGGTGCAGTGTGGCTTGTTTCTGGGCTGTTGGCAGGGCTGGGCCTGCTGCGGGCCCTGTTGCCATCATCTGTGGGGCCCTCCAAGGACGGAAGGTGACCCATGGTCTGGTGTGGCCTCCAGCTCCTGGTTCCCCATGTCGTGGTTTCCTGCCCATTGGTGCCTGTGTTCTCTGGTTTTATGTCCCTGGGGATGACTGGAACCAGTGACCCTCAGCACCCGTGTGGGTGACAGCACAGGGCTAGACTTGTGCCCACAGCACTCGGGCTTCCTGCAGCTCCCAGGGAGACAGGCGGCCTCAGAGCCACAGGTGGCTCGCCGGTTCACCTGCCGTACCCTTGCTGTGCACATTTGCTGCAGCTGTGGCCTAGCCTCCAGGGCCACCCAGACTCTGGCCAGGGTGAGAAGTCGCCCAGGCTGGGGGGGACAGGATGTGCAGAGGGGCACGAGATCTTTTACTGTAGCGGGAGAGGGAGGGTGGGGCCTTTGCCGTCCGCTGCTGACGCTGCAGCCTGGGCTGCACCTGCTCGGGCCTCTCAGGTCCTGGAGTGCAGTGACCTGTGGAGCCCGGAGGACGGAGGACTCGGCATTTCTATGGTCTGGGGAGAACCTCCTTCCCACCCTCTTCCCGCCCACTGGAAACTGGCACCTGACCTTCCAAGTGTCGGCACACAGGTGAAGGCCCAGCCCACCATGCATGTGTCTAGGCACTCTCTCCGCAGCCCATGTGGCCAATTCCTCTGCGTGGGGACCGTGCTGGCAGTAACCACAGCCATTGCCTCTCTGATCGCAGCCTGGGATCGTTTCTCCGTTCAAGCGCGTCTTCCTCAAAGGTGAAAAGGGCAGAGACAAGAAAGCCCACGAGAAGGTGACAGAGCGGCGCCCCCTGCACACGGTGGTGCTGTCTCTGCCGGAGCGGGTGGAGCCCGACAGGCTGCTGAGTGACTACATCGAGAAGGAGGTGAAGGTCAGTGCCGCCCCGTCCCCCCAGGGCCATCCGCCCCCCAGTGAGCTGAGGGGCCGTGTGTGAGGGCTGGTGCACACAGCCCCTGACTCCTGTCCTTGGGCCCTCCTGGCTGCCCCTGTGGTGGCGAGTGCCTCTCTGGCTGGCCACGTGTTCAGGCTCCTGGGTCAAGAGCGAGAGTGGTTCTGTGCTCTGCGCTCGTGGCCCAGACACAGGTCTCCAGGGTCCTGTCGAACCTGTGCCCAGGGCCCTCTGGGCAATCTCCCCCCTAGACCCAGTACAGAGAAAATAGGTCAGTAATGAGGCACCTCACCAAGAGGTCAGGGGAATGGGAAAGGAGGCAGTTGTGACCCTGGACAGGGCGCCAATGGGGCTGAGCCACAGAACTGACAGTGAGACCCCATTCGCATCACTAACAAGCAACACGCCCATACACGTGCAGCAGCGCATGTGCTGGCTTGTGTCTGAGAAGTGCGCAAAGCTGTGACAGCTGCTGTAGGTCCAGGTGGTGGACGCCGACCAAGTGCAGGGCCTGGAGACGTGGCCTGGACGAGGCACCAGACCTCCCCATGCTGGGGTTCAAGGCCAAAGCAGCACCTTGCAGAAAGCTGTCAGGGTTCTAAAGTTTATGTGGAAAGGCAATAGGATAGAGGAGCCGAAATGGTTTTGAAAAAGGACAAAAATGAGAGAATCCGTGCGCTGGCCTCAGAACCACGGCAGCAAGGGTGCAAGGGTCAGCAGGGGGGCTGACTCAGACCAGCAGCAGTGACAGGGACCCACACGGGCATGCCCAACATGTCTCCAGGTCCATGGGAAGGGCCGGCAGAAAATGAGCCCCTCTGGCTTGCCTCTCACATGAAATGATCTCAAAGTGGAGTGAGGATGTACAGGTAAAATGTAAAACTATAACCTTTTTAAGGAAACTACCTTTTTTTTGTTCATGTCTTTAAACAGTTTTTTAAAAGATTTTATGTATTTATTTTTAGACAGAGGGGAAGGAAGGGAGAAAGAGGGAGAGAAGCATCAGTGTGTAGCTGCCTCTTGCGCGCCCCCTACTGGGGACCTGGCCTGCAACCCAGGCATGTGCTCTGACTGGGAATGGAAACAGTGACACTTTGGTTCACAGGCTGGCATTCAGTCCCCTGAGCCACACCAGCCAGGGCTCATGTCTTTTATTCACACGTGTACAGTGACTTGTCTTCCGGTTTGCCGAAGCAATAGGTTAGACAGTGTTGTCCACAGCAGTGTCTCAAAGTGGCCAGCCACTGAAACCGCAGCACCGCAGCACCGCCTGAAGGCACTCCGGGCGCAGGTGGCCGACGATGCTTCCCCCGTGCACTCTGTCCTGCCCCAGTCCGGCTGGCTCGTCCCTCTTCCTCTCCTGCTTGAGCTCCTCCGATTGGTGTGAGGCCCCTTCCTCTTCTGGGCGCCACCTTGGGGTCCTGGTATGAGGTGGGGGGGCTTCCTCTGAATGCCGTGGTCAGAATTCCGCCTGCCTCCCTGTGTCGGCTAACGCACCAGCCGTGCTGATCAGGAGGCTTTCTTACCTCATCCCGGCTCTGGGCCTCCACCTTTTCTCTCGTACCCGAGGGTTCAGCCTCAGGCATGCTGACCTCCCCGTAAGGGTCTTCCTGAAAATTGGCATCTTGGTGGCAGGTCCACTGTGGACGGCAGATTGGGAAAACGCTAACATGTTTTTCATTGTGATAAAATGTCTGCAATGTGCAACCTGCCGTCCTGACGCTGCCCTCGCACAGCCTGGCGGCGCTGAGCGCTCTCCCACTGCCTGCGGCTGTGGCCCAGTCTGACTCCGAGCTCCTCATCCGGCAGAGCAGAGCCCTCTGTCCCATCCCGCACTCGCTCCCCTCCCCCAGCCCCTGGCTCCAGCATCTCCTCTGTCTCTGAGGCTGAAGACCCCGGGGCCCCTGTGGGTGGGGTCAAGCAGCGTTTGTCCCCCTGGCTCTGGTTTCTCTCATTGGCATCACGTCCTCGTGGTCTGGCCGTGTTCTAGCAGGTGTCAGAACTTTCATATTTTTAAGGCTGAGTCACATTCCAGTGTGTGGATGGACCACATTTTGTTTACCCTTTATTCTTTTTTTTTTTTTGGCTTATGCATCTGTATTGAAGAAAAATAAGTCAGTTAACAGCAGAACTGTTGGTTGCTCACTCCCCTGTTGTCGAGTTTCCAGGGTTCTCTGTGCGCCCTGGGTGGTACTCCCTTATCACACAGATGATATTTGCAAATATTCTCTGTCCTGCTGCCTTTTTACTGTGTGGCTCGTGTCCCTTCATGAAGTTTTACATTTCACACGAAAGCTGGTTTGTCTGTGCTTAGTTGCTGTTGCCGCGTACCTGCCCTGTGGCTTTTGTCTCATTCTTTCCTCATGGGCTCAGCCTTGTCTGGCCGCACCATCCAGTGGACCAAGGAGAGTCATTGACTTTCAGTTGGTCGGGTTTTTCTTGGGGGGACAGGATGAGCAGGTGTTGAATGGGGGAAGGTAGTCTGGGTCACCCGCTGCAGCAGCGACCCTGCATGTGGTCTGCACAGGGCTGACAGGTGCAGAGGGAGGGTCTGCTCCGGGAAGACGTCCACAAACACTAGATAGTGTCGGTGGCAGAAACACTGTGCTGTGTCACACCCAGACTCCCCCACGCGGCCGACAGGCCCTTGTGAAGCCCACTCAGGCTTGTGGGCACTTGGGCACATCTCTGTCTGCCCCCCTCGCCTCTGGCCCTCGGCTGTGGCTGGGATACTGGGGGTGCTGTTGTGTTGGGGGCCTGCTCCCCAAACATGGGCTTTTCCAGAACTGGGGCACCTCCCAGGGGCCACACTTTCAGCCAAACCCACTGCGGGCTGCTGGTGGATGAGAGACTGGGTCGCCTGCGGCCAGGCCCTGCTGGCTGACTGCCTTCCCAACAGCCCCTGCCTTCCCTCTCTCTCAGTACTTAGGTCAGTTGACGTCCATCCCCGGGTACCTGAACCCATCCAGTCGGACCGAGATCCTGCACTTCATAGACAATGCAAAGGTAACCCACCTTCCACCCCCAGCCTCTGACATGGCCTGCTTTGCCTCCTGGCCACAGCCTCTGACCCTGGGCCTCTGTGGCTGTTAAGAGATGACCCATCCCATCAAGTTTGGTTCCTTGGTCTGAACAAGACTTTGTCCCCAGATGTGTGGCTTATGGTTCTGTGCTGCCTCTACATTTTAATGACACCCAAACCCACGCTTCATTGGTCCGAGTCCGTGGGCCTTTCCCAGGACACCCCTAGGGTGTGTGTGGGGGGACCCAGCGTCTTGGCATGTCTGATGCCTGGTCACCTCTTCCAGAGAGCCCACCAGCTCCCCGGACACTTGACCCAGGAGCACGACGCCGTCATCAGCCTGTCTGCTTACAATGTCAAGCTGGCCTGGAGGGATGGCGAGGACACCATCCTCAGGGTCCCCATCCATGACATCGCTGCCGTGTCCTACGTGCGGGACGATGCCTCGCATCTGGTAGTCCTGAAGACAGGTATGATCTAGGGGTGGGGCCTCGGCAGCTGCAGCTGCGTCCCCACAGTGGAGGGGCCTGCGTGGGGCAGAGCTCTGGAGACAGCCTCCGCCTGCCATGTCGGGGAAGTGGCCCTCCTGTCCCTGAGGTCAGTCTCAGCTAGAGGAGGGCAGGACCCAGGGGAGCAGGGGGCACAGATGCTGAGCCTTGCCCTCTACTCAGTGCTGCCTTCTCTGGGGTACTGGGGTGTCCTCTGGTATCCAGGCCTGGCAGGGCCTCCGCCCAGCACAGCCAGTGTCCAAGGTCTGAAGGGCTTTCTCCTACCTTGTCCTCTGCCATAGCGGGGCCACCTCACTGGGCACCCGGACAAGCTGCCCTTGGGTCCATGGCCTCTGCCCTGAGGAGTGGGCACTGGGCTCCCCAGTGGGGATCTAGGGTTGGTGCTACAGCACGGACTCTGTCCCCAGAGCCCCCCGCCCCCCCACCCCCACGCATCCATGCTACGCGTCGGGCAGCACAGAGGGAAGGTCCGTAGTCGGCGGGCAGGGGGCTGCTCTTCAGAGCCCAGTTCTGGGAGAGGCGCCCACACTGCTGACTTGGAGCGTGGGCAGCCCTGCAGGGTGGGGGCAGTCAGGGCGTGCCCACCTGTACGCCTAGAGGTGTTGCTGGCCACCCACACTGTGGCCGCCCCAGTTAGAGCCCCTGGGCTTTGGGCTGCTACACCTGGCACCTTTGGCCCACACGAACATTCTCTCACATGGACTGACACACCCACCTCACACCCCTGCTCTGTCACCCACACTGAGCAGGCACCCCTCCAGTCTGTTCCTGTGTCTCCTCCGTGTGCCCGCCGATTCTGCTCAGTGATGGCACTTCCTCAGGTTGGAAGACTGCTGATATTTGACTGCTTCAGTCCTCAAAAATGGCAGTTTCTGTGGCTCAAACTGGTGTGGAGGCTGTGATGGGACTTACCTCATCCAATCTGCACAGTGACCGTGAAGGTGGGGGTGTGTCCACGCCCACGGCACAGATGTGGTGATGGCACAGCCGTATGGGCGGGGCTCTGGGTCCAGGTCCCCACCCGGACTCTGCCCCTCACATGCGCTTTGCGCCTTGCCTCAGTTTCCCCACCTCCCGTCAGGATGGTGTCCCCAGCCCACTGTTTATTGCCTGGAGCCCTGTCAGTACCTTCTGTGGAGAAGGTTGAAGGGAGCTGAAATCTGGCCGTCTCCCGTCCTGGCCTAAGCCATTTGTCCATTTGTGTGCGGATGTCAGCAGCTCAAGGAGGGTGGTGTCGCCCTCCTTGGTGTGAAGGGTGGGCGGCCTGGAGACAGGTGCCGCTGGGGCTGGCCCTCATCCAGACAAGGCGGGGGAAGCCCGTGCCCACAAGAGCCTGCAGCCAAGCCCTTGCCTCCCCTAACCTGCACGGTGTCCGCTTCGCAGCCCAGGACCCCGGCGTCTCCCCCAGCCAGAGCCTGTGTGCGGAAAGTCCCCGAGGCCTCGCCACAGGGTCTTTGTCCGAGAGCGGCGTGGTGCCTGTGGAGGCCTGCTGCCTGGTGGTCCTGGCTGCGGAGAGCAAGGTTAGCAGCCTGGGGCCTGACCAGCCCTCACCCATCCAGGCCGGCCCTGCCCCCGCCATGCTCAGACTCCCACACACCCAGGCCCAGGCCCTGCCCATACCTGCCTGCCCCTCCCTCCTCTGTGTGATGGGGGTCTCGGTCCCCTGTACCCCAATCTGTGCCCTGTGGGTGGATTCCTGGGAGTGGTAAGTTAGGGTTTGGGGCCCCGTCAGCCACTTGAGGGCCATCAGCCTCTAGGAACTCCTTGCCGTGCCCCCCAGCCCTGTGTCATTCATGCATCTGTGAAGCGGCAGTGATGCAGCCAGGCAGCTCCTTTTTACTGCTGCCGTCCCGGCCAGCCCGTCCCACTGGAAGCCCCACTCAACACGGCCCCATGTCCTGGGGGCCCTGCTTCAGCTGCAGGCATGTGGAACCTGTGGTCTCTGTTGGGAATGTCGATCCCAGCACCCCAGGCTGGGACAGAGAGATGGGCGGTGGCCAGCAGGGCGGTGGAGGAGCTGCAGGGAGTATCCTGGCAGGCTGCTGACCTTGGCCCCGGGGGACACTTGGTCTTGGTGCCAGTTGGCACTGAGGGGTCAGGCTTCTGGGTACTACTGCTCTGCCCCACGACAGGTGGCTGCGGAGGAGCTGTGCTCCCTGCTCGGGCAGGTCTTCCAGATTGTGTACACGGAGTCCACCATCGACTTCCTGGACAGAGCCATCTTCGACGGGGCCTCAACGCCCACCCGCCACCTGTCCCTCCACAGCGGTGAGTGATGGTGGCGGGCAGGCAGTGGAGGGCCCGTCTTTTCCCACCGGGGCTCTCCTGCTACTCAGGCTGTGCTGCCCGGGCAGCAGGGACGTCACTGCCTCTGCCCCATGGACCTGGGGGTGTGAGCCGACACCTTGGTTTCCGGGCTCTGTCATTTACGGTCACATTGCCGGCAGGGTCAGCCCAGGCTGTATGTGGCTGTTGGGGCCTCCTTCCAGGCCACTGGGCTTGCTTCGGTCAGGGGGGTCCCTCCCAGAACAAGGCTGCCAGGGTGGGGTGGTGATGGTGGGGTGCGGGGTATGGGCGAGCGCAGGAGCCCTGGAGGCTTCGACCCAGATACTCTTGGGCGCCACCACGCCCCACATGCCAGCACACAAGACGCCCCCGTGCACACAGCCCACTTCAGTCAGACCTGCTGCTTCTGAAATCTGAAGTTTATTAAGGACTCGTGGCTTCTGCAAGTCAGGTGCACAGAGAGGAGTCTGGTGGCCAAGCAGCCCAGTGTGGCCTCTCTGTGCCGAGAGAGCCCACCTGCCCCTCTCTAGGTCTCCCACCGAGGCTGGGAGCCCGCCCCCCACAGAGACCCTGTGTGTGCCGGGGGCTCAGTTCACTGATGGGCTCCCACACCCCACGGCTCAGACATGGGTGGCCCTCGCCATGCGTGGGCAGAGCCCGACGTGCCTTGGGCTCCATCTGCACACTGCCCTGTGTGTCCCTCTGAGGCTCCAGGGACAGGCTTCATCCTGCCCTTTATCACTCCTGGGGCTTCCTCCATCCTCAGGGCTCTGACCAGGACACAGTGCTTCATGGTCCCCCCGAGAGGCCCACTGAGGTAGCCCAGGACGGGCACCCTGTGTTTGGGTCAGAGCTGAGCCACCTCCTTTCCTGGCACACACTGAGTGTCATCTAACGTGCTCTCGGGTCCCCAGCTGGGACGTAACGTTAGCTGGGGCCCTACCTCTGCCCACCACTCTGACAGTGCTCCTGCTTTTCCTCCTGTCCTCTCCCACAGTCCCACACTCTGTCACCTTCCTCAGCTCGGTCCCTGCACGAGACAGTGCTCTTGGAGACCTCGTGGTCTGTCCTGTGCATTATTAGGAGCTGCTGTGCTGGGCCCTTCACTGGTCTGAGGTTCTTGGCTTTGCATGGCCCGTCTCTGTCCTTGGCTGGGTCCAGGCTGGGGTCAGGGCAGGTCTCAGCCTCTGCCCTCCTCGGCTGTGTGGCAGGGGCTGGCTGCAGGGCTGACCCAGCTGCTCATCCGAGCGTGGGCTGCCACAGCGACCCTGGCGGCTCAGAGGAGACGTGGTGAAAGCAAGGACTGTGCTAATGGGAGCACATACCACAGGCAGGCCTTTTCTTGTCCTTGGTTCTGGGGAGCCCTCTGCCACCCCCCACCTCATGAGGCCCCCAGGAAGAGTCCCCAGCTGAGCGCTGACCCTGTTCATATACCGCCTGGTGACCCTGCTCTGCGTTTCCATACAGACGACTCTTCCACCAAGGCGGATGCGAAGGAGTCGTATGAGATGGACACCAGCACCTTGTGAGTTCCCGTCCTTCATGCAGCCCCTCCCTGTGGGTCCCTGGTCCCCCAGTCCATCTAGTGGGCTCCCCAAAGTCACACTGCTGATGTCATCACTCTATGTGAGACCCTGTGGTGGTCACCTTCCATGTCCCTCCCTGCATCTTGTCATTCCCTCTCCCCAGCAGTGCCCTCCCCCCACGGTAGGCCCCTCTCTGTCACCCACCCTGCCCCCCGTGCTACCTGGGCCCCACGTGTGGTCATGGGTGCAGGTATAGGGTGGGGCTGTCCTTCCAGCTCCTTCCCTGAGTGTGTGCCTGCGGTGCCCCATGCCAAGACGGCCAGCGAGAGCGAGCTGAGTGCCACGGCCGCTGAGCTGCTGCAGGACTACATGCTCACGGTAGGCGGGGGGCCCTCTGGGGGGTGCTTGGAGGCTGCTCTGGGCACCTGTCCTTGCGGCGGAGGGCTGCGTGTGTCCCTGTGGGTGGGCGTGGCTCTGGCCTGGCTTCCTGTCACTGCCTGCTCCCTGCAGCTGCGCACCAAGCTGTCCTCGCAGGAGATCCAGCAGTTTGCGGCGCTGCTGCACGACTACCGCAACGGGGCCTCGGTGCATGAGTTCTGCATCAGCCTGCGGCGGCTCTACGGAGACAGCCGCAAGTTCCTGCTGCTGGGTGAGGCCGGGGTTGGCGCTGGCGTGGGCCTTGGGGGTTAAGGAGAACGGTGCTGGGTGGGGGCGGGGGTGCCATTGCAGCCCAGAGTCCAGGCTGGTCGATGGTGGCTGGTGGAGGCCCCTGGGCCCCCAGCTCAGGGCATCCTCCCGGTCTTGTCTGGAAGTGAGTGAGCCCCACGGGTGGGAGCGCAGTGGGGCGGTGGGGGTGCCTTGCTTGGGGTCCACCCTGGTCTCTCCACCTGGGACGTCCTGGCAGAGCTGCCGCCTGCAGGATGTGCAGGGTCAGGTGTGCGCTGCGTCTGCAGGTCTGCGGCCCTTCATCCCCGAGAAGGACAGCCAGCACTTCGAGAACTTCCTGGAGACCATTGGGGTGAAGGATGGCCGCGGCATCATCACCGACAGCTTCGGCCGGTACCGGCGGGCCATGAGCTCCACCTCAACCTCCACCTCCAACGGGAACAGGGCAGCGGGCAGCTCTGATGACCAGTCCGCACCTTCTGAGGGGGATGAGTGGGACCGCATGATCTCGGACATCAGCAACGACATTGAGGCACTTGGCTGCAGCATGGACCCGGACTCGGCCTGAGGGGCTGGTGCCGCAGGCCGGCTCTCCCGTGCAGGGCTGGGGCCAGGCCGGCCTATACTGTGAAGGAGACGCTGCGGGGCAGAGGCTGCCCCAAGCTGCCTGCACGCGGCCCCGCTTGTGGGCCGGACCCCAGACAGTTGTCGTTCTCGCATGCGACGTCCCTGTCAAAACTCTCAGAGACCCAAAGAAGTTTACTGCAATGTGAATGGTTTATCTGTGGGTGCCTGTGTGTTTCTGATCCTGCTAGGAGCTGGGCTTCCCTCCTGCCTGTCCAGGGCCGCCACTGCCTGCCCCGGGAAGCTGGGCCCACTTGCGAGACCGCCAGCAAGGAGGGTGTACCTGGGGCTTTGCTTCCTGGACTTGGGGCCCAGAGCAGGTGTCCTATGCACCTGTGGCTGTATCAGGGCCTTGCTGTGGGAGGTGGTCACTAGGCTCTCCAAGGGGCACTGCCTGTCCTCCGACCTGTGCCCAAGTCCCACCTGCCTTCACAGGCGGCCTCTACAGCAAACCCCGTGTCCCCCCTTTCCCCTCCTCCACCAGAAGTGCCATCCCCACCCTGAGTGTGTCCATGGGGCCTGGGGGCCTGGTCTTTGGGGAGGCTGGCGGGGGGCACTGTGGCCTCAGTTGCTCCTCCTTCGGACATGGGGAGGCAGTGGGGTGGCCCCAGAGCAGAACCTGGAACCTGCAGGGACAGGTGCAGGGGGCCCAGGTCACCCCCTCCCTACAAAGGTGCTTGTTCCCTGCACCTTCCCTGGTGTGTGAACAGGTGGCCCCGGGGAGGGCAGGCCCCCTGCACAGGGAGCCAGACCCTCCAGGGATGGTCAGGAGCCTTGTCTTCCTCTCTGGGGCCCCACCCCCTCGTGGCTTCCTGCTCTGCAGATCCTCCACACCGTGCTGTCCTGGGACACTGGTCACCTGGTCCTAGGACATGAAACCCTTTTCTGCAGGTCCCTGGGTTTGGGAGGAGGAAGGTGTGGGAAGGACGGGACCCCCTATAGCTGGGCCCCTGAACCACTGGCCCTGAGCAAGGCTGCCTCCCTGCAGCCTCTGTAGCCCAGTGCCGGGGAGCTCTCCCAGAGCTAGTCCTCGGGTCTGCGGCTGGGCCACCGCGAGGTGACGGGTCTGCTTGCAGTCCCCACGCAAGCTGGGCACCTCCGGAGTGCGGAAGTGGGTCACCTTGGGAGGTCCCCCCATAGGACATGAGGAAGGACTGCCATCCTTGGGTGTCACGTGGCTCCCACACCCCGTTGAGCGAGAGGCCACACTTGGGGAGCAGTTGCGGCAGGAGCAGAGGTGAAGGGAACCCCCATTCACTGGGCAGCAGAGCTGGGGTCGGGGTGGAGCCGCGTGCCGGCCAGTGGCTACATGGTCAGCTCCTGCAGGACATGGGGAAAGGGGGCCAGGCTCAGGGGTGACCTGGCAGAGTCACAGCAGAGTGTGGGCGGGTCGAGGAAGGCTGGCTGCTCACCATGATGGCGTTGACAATGTCGCTCTGGTTGTCCCGCAGGGCCCGCACGGCCTTGGCCCTGGACACGTTGGCCTGGGCCATCACCAGCTCAATGTCCCGCAGCTCCAGGCCTGCCTCATCCACCTGGGGGGGTGGCAGGAGGTGCTGGGGCTGCCCCTCTCCGTCTGAGTCCCCACCTCCTACCTCCAAGGGGCCTCACCTCCTCCTCCTCGCCCTCCTCCTCCTCACATTCCGGCCTCACCCGTGGCCCCGGCACTGACTCGGGGACCAGGGCAGAGGGCTCTGTGGGCACCTTGAACTTCTCGGCGGCAGCTCTGTGCACTTGCTGGGACAGGTCCTCGATCTATAGCACGGGCAGCTGTCAGCGAGCCTGCCCTGACCACCCTGCCTGCGCCCGTGCCCACGCCCCCCACCTCCAACCTTGGCCTCCCCGAAGACCACGTAGGTATCTGATGCTGGGCTCTTGAAGACGTCGGGCTTGGCGATGACAAAGAGGATGTTCTTGGACTTCTGGATGGTGATCCTGGTGACACCCTGGATCTGCCTCAGGCCCAGCTTGGACATGGCCTGGGGGCACGGCAGGCTCAGACCTGGGCGCGGCCCGAGGGCTGTGCTGGAGTTGGGGCGGGCTGGCCTGGGGAGCTGGCATGCTGCGGGCCGGGGTCCCCACGGGTAGAACAGCATGGGGACTCAAGCTGATGGAGCCCAGCTGTTTCGCGAGGGTGTTTCGTCACCACATTTCCCTAAGGACCATGGGTGGGAAGGGTCCCAGTCCTAAGGGTAGCTTGCCAGGCCAGCCCGGCCCTCCCGAGGGAGCAGGGTCCCAGCCCACCTTCCTGGCTTTCTTCTCGCTGCGGCTCTGCTTGGCTTTGGCCGAGGTCTCCTCGCTGCTGCTGGCTGGGGCCTGGGGAAGGGCAGGGCTAAGCACCGAGGGTGGGTGTGGGCCCCCCTCGCACCCTCCCCCCAGCGGGCACCTGGGCCGAGCACTGCACAGCCTGAGGTCCTGAGGGCTCCTGCTCCTCCAGCTCGGCCGACGACTCCCCGTGGCTGTCCGAGGGCTGTCCGGGAACCCGGGAAGACTCTGCGGATAGGGTGTGTGAGGATGGCCCTTTCCCCTGGAGCCAGGCCCTCTGCCATCCCGCCACCTCCTGTCCCTCGGCTCCTCGGTCTGGCCCTCACCTTCCTCCAGACTGTCCTGGTCGTCCTGCTGCTCAGTGACCGGGGACCCTTGAGGGCTGGCCGGGCTCCGGGGCCTAGAGCCAGGAGGCACTTGGCAGGGGGGTGGGATCCACGAGACCAGGTCTTTGGCATGGGTGCCCCCTGCGGGGGCAGCCGAGGGGCTGAGGAGGGTGGTGTTGGGTGAGAGACTGACCCTCGGCCCAGCCCCCATGGGCTTCCTGGTTCCTGAGAAGGCAGACACTGCCAGTGGAGCTCCTGCCTGGGGTGGCAGGAGGTCCGGGGAGCCAGGGGGCTTCTGGTCCTCAACTGAGCCTTCCTGGGGACCCTGGCAAGGGCAGGGGACAGGGCGTGCTGCTGAGGGAGGGGCCACCCCCATGAGTCCTCTGGGCATGGAGGGCTCAGGGTTCCGGAGCCTGTCCTGGGGCTGTGATGGGGAGGGACCCGGGGCTCCAGGGGCCACATGGGCCTGCTCGTCCCTGCCCGGGCTCAGCTCTGGCCATGGGGAGGGCGGTGCAGGTGTGGGTGCGGGCTCCTCGGGACAGCCTCTGCCCAGCCTGGGCACAGCCCTTGATGGAGACTCTGAGGCCGCAGCCGGCTTCAGCCTGGGCCCCAGGGTGACCCCTCCATTCCCTGCGTGGCTCTGGGGGTGCACCACACCAACCTGGGGGCAGGGGCCCCGGGGCATCGGCTCAAGGCTGCCAGCCCCCTGTTTCTCCACTCCAGGGGCCTCCCGTGAGGGTGAGTGGGGCTCAGCCCCCTGGCCAACAGGCAGTGGGGCATCGTGACGGGCTTCTCCGCTGGGTGCCAGTAGGCCTTCAGCTACTTCTGTCCCACTGGAGGTAGGCCCAGGGGGGTCCAGGGTCTCTTTGGGGGAGTCCAAGGATTCTGTGAGGAGAAATGAAGGTTCTGGGATCTCCAGGGTGACCTTGGGGCAACCTGAATTCTCCTTGTGGAGGTCCAGGTGGTCCAGGACCTCCATAGGGCACTGTGGGGGGGCTTGGATCTCCAAGGTTGGACTGGGGAGGTCTGGGGTCTTTGCAGAGGGCTCAGAGGTATCCAGAATCTCCATGGTAGGGCTGGGGAAGTCTGGGGTGTCAAGGGTCTCCATGGGGGGATGTGAGGGGTCCTGGGTATCCACAGCAGGCTCAGGGGTATCCAGGGCCTCCTTGGCTAGTTCAGGCATATCCAGGGCCTTTGAAGCAAGTTCAGGGGTGTCCTGGGCCTTTGAAGCAAGTTTAGGGGTGCCCTGTGCCTTCAAGGTGAGTTCAGGGGTGTCCTGGGCCTTTGAAGCAAGTTCAGGGGTTCCCTGGACCTTCAAGGTGAGTTCAGGGGTGTCCTGGGCCTTCAAAGCAAGTTCAGGGGTGTCCTGGGCCTTTGAAGCAAGTTCAGGGGTTCCCTGGACCTTCAAGGTGAGTTCAGGGGTATCCTGGGACTTTGAAGCGAGTTCGGGGGTGTCTGGGGCCTCCGTAGTAGTCTTGGGGGAGCACACATCTCCACATGGAGCCCAGTACATCCCGATGTCTCCATCTGGCTTTGAATGACCCTTTTGGGTCTGGCCCGAGGCCCGGGGCTCTGGGTCTCCAGTGTGGCCTGTATCTTTCTTGAGGTCTGGCTTCAGTCCACAGGTTTTGCCTCCTTCCCACTGGGCCCTGGTGGCCGGGGACTGGGTCCCTGAGTCACAGCCCATATCTGTCTGCAGGGTGTGAGGGCCGGCTGCATCCCGAAGGGGCACGCGTGTGGCTGCAGGGACAGTGTCCTCAGGTGGGGTGTGGCCCTCTCCTTCAGGTGAGGGCTCCTGGCCAGCATCCTCCTTCAGGTCCTGCAGAGCCTCTGGGCTGGGCATCCTGCTTGCCTCTGCTCTCGGGGCCCAGCGCTCAGTCCTGGGCTCAGGCCCTGAGGCAGCGCCCTCTCTCCCCTGCTGGAGCTGAGGTGTGGCTGCGGGCACGGGCTGTGCTCCAGTGGCGGAGCCTGCCACTTGACCCAGGGCCTGAGCTGCCACCCTGGGGAGACCGGCAGGGGCTCCCTGGCCTGACTCTGGGCCTGGCGGGGCAGCGAGCTCTGCGTGGGGCTCGCTGCTGTACAGCTGCTCATCCTCCACCCCTGTGTAAGAAGCCGAGTCGGGGTCTGAGGAGGCGGCCGAGGCATCATCCCGGAAGGCGAAGGCCTCGTCCACGCCCTCAGTGATGGAGAGGTCGGACAGGGACTGCAGGGAGGAGGTGAAGCTGCTGATGTCCTCGTCCTCGCCAGCCCAGTCCCTGCCTGGGGCTGCGGCCTCCTGCTCCTGCCCGGGCGGCAGCGGCGTCACCTCCACGGCCTCCACTTGGAAGATCAGACTGCCCCGGAATGGCAGGAGGGCGGCGGGGACCATTGGGTCATCGGCCAGGAAATCCAGCTCCAGGAAGTGGGCCTCCTGGCCGCAGGAAGAGCTGCTGGCCGTGGAGAGGCTGGACTCAGGAGACAGTGGCCCTGGGGACCCCACTGGGGGTAGCGCCCACTCGTGGGCCTCAGACTCTGGTGGAGAGAAGCCCCAATCTGAGGCCACATCCAGCCCTTCAGAGGGAGCCAGCAGGCTGAGGGAGCAGGACGCGGATGAGGCCCAGCTGTCCCCATCTGCGGTGACGTAGGAGCCAGAGGGTGAGGTGGGTGGTGATTCCCCTGAGGCCTCAGGCTCAGCCTGGGTACCCTCCACATCCTGGTGGGGCCTGGGGCTGGGAAGCAGGGCAGGGGCCTCGCTGGGGGTGGAGGGAGGTGTAAAGTAGGACTCAGGGTCAGGCACAGGGAAAGGCACAGGGGGGTCGCCCTGAGGACATGTGGTGGGTGGGCTCCAGCTCCCAGGCCGCTGCTCTTGGTCCCTGAGCTCTGGCAGGGCCACCCAGGGCACCGGGCACGTCTCCTCGCCCATTACAATCCGTGGCTCCAGGGTGGCTGGGAGAGGCCCTTTGGGGGGCTGGACCTCAGGGGGCCCTAAGCTAGGGCCGCCCTCCATGGGGACTGCCCAGGATGAGGGTGCCTGGCCGGGCCCTACATCCCAGCTGGCTCCCTCGGGTGGAGGCCGGGCACCTGGCTTGCTGGGCAGGAATGCAAGGGCCAGGGCGTTGGGTCCGGGGGTCAGGGCACATTGCGCCAGCTGGTCCCCTCTTGGGCTGGTGGCCTCAGCTGCATCGAAAGACAGATCTGTGGAGAGACAAGTGAGAGGCAAGCTGGCACCTGCTCTAAGAGGCCACTGCGCCCGGCTGGCTGGGGGCTGAGACCAGGTGGGGCCCGGGGAGGGGATGTCATCAGAAGAGGGTGAGCAGGCAAAGGCCATTGCTGTGTCTGGGGAAGAATTCCCTGGTTCTGAGCTCAGCGAGCAGCATGGGGTTGGGGTGAGTGGGGAGTGGCTGGGGCTCAGCCGGGCACCCCAGTGGTGCTGTGAGTTGCTCAGTGCCGGTGACATGCCATCTCCCGTGACACTGGCTGCTTGTACAGAACCCGCCACCTTGCTGGGCTTTGCAGGAAAGGCCCCCTTGTGGCCTCCTGGGTCAGAGGGCCCTAGGGCGAGGGGCCTGCACTTTACTCAGCTCTGGAACATTCCACCCCAGGTATGTGCTTCCTGGGCCTCAGCCTTCTGTCTGCAAATAGGAGCATCTGCCCAGATTCGAGGTGAAGCTTTCAGGGCGCCTGTCTACCATAGCAGAGCCCCCACCTTTGGGTCCCACTGCTGAGGTGCTGGGTGGCCAGGGGGTCCTGAGGGGGCAGTCCCTGGGGTCTGCTGGAGTGTGACAGACACCCCATACCTGAGGCAGGTGTGGATTTGTGGGGAAGATGGGGCCCTGGGCACTGAGCCTGGCGTGGAACCCCTGCCCCTCCCCCGCCCCTTGGACCCCAGTGCCCCAGGGCAGGGGGAAGGCAGAGTTGGGCCAAGGTTGAAGTAGAGAAGAAGCCTGGAAGTCAAAGGTTTTAGTGACTCATTCAAGGTCATCAAACAGTCTGAGCAGAGCCAGCCCTAGCCCCTGGGCCTGGGGACCCAGCCCTGCCCCCTCTCCTGGAGCTGAGGGAGCCTGGCCTCTGACAGCTCGGGTCCCACCCACAGCAAGGTGCCCTTGGCCCTGGGAATCGCACAGGGCTGCCCTGCCGGGTCTTCCCAGGCCAGGCAGACAGCCGCGGCTCCAGGGTGGCGGGAGGCCCGCAGCTCCCAGCTGCACTCCGTGGGGCCTCTGACCTCCCTCCTCTCACACCCGCAGCACCCTTTTGGCTTCCCAGATGTCAGCCCCCTTCCTGAACCCCCTCTGGGACCAGGGCCGGTCCTAGCGGCCCTCAGGCATCTGCGGGACAAGTGTCCTCAGGGCCCTGGGTGCCGCTGGGAACTTGCCACTCCTGGTTCAGGTCCCGACCTGCCCAGGCCCGCAGCTGCGCGCAGACAATGGGGTGCCCCGAGTCCGAAGCGCTCGGTCCAGCCGGTCACTCCAGCTCTTTACCACAGTCCCAGGGCGGCTGAGCAGCGGTCAGCATTCAGGTGCTGGGGAGGGAAGGGGACTGGGATGGACAGAGCGTGGGGGAGATGCACGCAGCGGAGAGCGCGGGGCCTCACCTTTTCGGGGCCCTGGGCCTCCTGCCTCTGGCAGCAGCCGCTCTGCGCGGGCTGCTTCCCCGGGCATGGCCTCGCCGGCTGTCCTTCTGTCCGGTCCCGTCTGTGAGTCCCTCCCGTGGAGCTCACGCCGCGGCCACCGCCCCTTGCCCGGGAGGGAGGGGGGTGGTCAGTGGGTGACGTCAGCGCCGCCCCGCCCTGAGTGAGTGTGCGCGCCGCTGGGCGCTGCGGGTTCCTCCCTCCCCGCGCCCTCCTCCCGCGGGCGGAGCAAAAGCCCCGCTTTTCCCTGGAGTCTCCCGCCCTCCCAGCGGGAGAGGGGTTCGGCTGGCCGAAGCTGGGCCGCCCGTGTGGCATCACCCCTCAGCTGGGGCAGGAAGAGGCAGGTGTCGCCAGACCTCAGGGTGCGGGGGTAGAGGTGGTTGGAGGCTCTGGGAGCTGGGGTGCTTCACGTGAGGCGACGTAGCCCCCTCCTCATCCCCGCCCCGGCGCCCCCCCCATTCCCCCTTTGTGGCCCCCACCTGCCCGGGTCAGCATCCCCTCCCAGCCTGATGCCTCCATCCAAGAAGTGAGCTGGACCCGCGCATTCTGATTGGCGGGTGCTAGCAGGTTGGTCTCCATGGCAACCTCCTCCCGGCTCCCTGGCAACCAGAGCCAGAGAAGAAGATGGTTCCCGGAGCTCTGCTGCCCCACCTCCCCACCCTTCAGCTCTCTGCCTGGAACCCGGAGAAACCCTCCCTCCTCCTCCCGCCCCAGCCCTGCTAGAACCCTGGCCCCACCCCCAGAGCGCAAGCCCACCCTCCCAAGGAGCCGTTCCAGTGCCAGGCTCTGGGAGACACTGTCACTGCCCCGGCTGGGCGGGGAGTGGATGGAAGTCAGAGTGGCTGTTGTTGGCAGAAGGGTGTGTCCTCCACCCAGTCCTCTGCTGGTCCCGCCTCGGAGCCCCCAAAGAGTCCCCCCCGAAACTGCTCTGTAGACAAAGATTCTAAAGCAGGAAGTCAACAGCCCTGACATGGGAGGCTGGTGATGGAGCAAAGGCCCTGGGGGCTCGCATCTGGCTCAGCCCTGAGGGCTCAGACCACCTGGGAGATGGGATCTCGGATGGGCCCGCCTCCTCCCCCTGGGCCGCTGTGTGTGTGAGGCAGGGAGGCCCCCCGGGGTTACGGTGACCACTAGTGAGATTGTGGGGAAGGGTCTCGTTAGTTAGACAGTTGCAGTGGCTGAGAAGGGACCTGGAGCCAGAAGCATCCAGCAATGGCCTTTTATTGGAAGTGGGGCACAGCAATCAGGGGCTGGATACAGACGGCAGCCCCAAGGGAGAGGGGAGAAGGGCCTGTGAGGTGTGGGGCAGAATGGGGCGGGGGTCACCCTTCAGATCTGCCCCATCCTTCCCAGGGGTCTGATCAGGGAGGGCTGGTTCTATGCAAAGCCGGAGGGGAGGGCCAGTGAGGGCTCAACCGGCTCCAACAGGATGCCTCAGTCTGGGCTGATACAGGGACCTCGTGGTTGGAGGCCTGGCCCAGGCCGTGCCTGTCTTTGTTCCAGCCCAGGCGGTGGGCCAGGCACATGCTAACAGTTCTCGCCATAAGCTCTCCAGTCCCTTCATTTGTTAGGATTTACATCGTCCTTATGGCAGCTGGCACCCCCCCACCCTGGCCTGGCCTGTGTCGTGGTCGGGCTGGCCCAGAAAACAGCGAGCAGACAATTAGAGCAGGCGGGAGGAGGCAGGCCCCTCCCTACTGTACTGGGGGGCAGACCCAGAGACCAGGGCCATCGGAGGGTGCCCTGTCCCCTTCCAGGGGCGTCTGGTCACAAACCCCTTCCCGGCCTCTCAGCTGTGCAGGCTCAGCCTGTGGGAAGCACAGGTCAGTGGTGGGGAGGTGGGGGCAGGTCAGTGATGGGGAGGGGCTCCTCTAGCTGGCCAGGTGGCAAGCCCGGGTGTGGCTGTCCTGTCCTGTCCTTGAAGAAGCTGCAAAGGGGCTGCAGGACACTCACATGGTGCCCCAGGAGACGGTGGGAGGGGGTGGTTCTCCCCGAGTTGACTGGCTATCACCTTGTGGAAGCTACTGTCAGGAGTCGGGAGGGGCCCCAGGCAGCAGCAGCCCCATCTGTGGCCTGGGTGAGGCCTGCTCTCAGGAGCCCAGGTGTAGGGAACGCCGCCTCTTAGGGTGGCCCCTGACAGGTGGCCTGCTTTCCACTGGGAGGCCTGCAGCTGCCTCAGCTCTGCACTGACCCTGTCACCCATTGCTGAGGTGGCAAACACTCGAGTTTCCTCAGCATCACGAAGTCTCAGCACCCACCCACGCCCTTGCCGTGGCCACCCCACCTCGCCTGGCAGGAGGTGCCCTGTGGCTGGGCTGTCCTGGTCAGAGGCCATGTCCACCACTATCCAAAATGGCTGTCACCCCTGAGGAGGCTCCATGGGTGAGTCTTTCCCTTCAAAGTCCACAATCAAGCTTTGTTTAAAGCCCCGATGTCATGTTCACTTGTGTCTGTCAAGCTCAGATTGCATGACATGGGCACAGGGCCTGTCCCTGAGGGACTTGAGGGACTGACTGTCTAGGACAGACACCTTGACTCATTCGGAGGCCACACGGACAGCCAGACTCCAGGCCAAGGCGGAGCACAGGGCACAGACCCCAGAGCGAGGAGTTCCCAGAACATGGGAGTTTTTCTGTCCTGCTGGGAGTGGGTGCGTATGTTCAGTGCCTGGGGGATCTGGGCCCCAAGTGAGAGACCTGAACGTGGACGACCGTTTGCCGGATTCTTCAGTGAAACCATCGGGGCCTGGGGATTTCTTTGGGGGAGTTTTTAAATTATGGATTTTTAAAACAATTCTAAAGTTATTAAAATTATCCATTTCATATTGGATGAGTTATGTACTAATAGTTTGTGTTTGTTGAGTTTCTTTCTCTCTTTGCTGACTTCTCCCTCCTTGGTCCGTCACCAGTCATAGAGAGACAGTGTTAAGTCTCCAGCTGTCACTGTGGATTGTCTGTTTCCTTCAATTCTACCAGGTTTTGCTTCATGTATTTTTCAGTCTGTTTGGTGTGTACACAGTTTGGAAAGTGTCTTCCTGGTGAATTGATCCTTTATCAAAACATAATGTCCCTACCCTGGCTGGTGTGGCTCTGTGGATTGAATGGCAGTGGCTGGCAAACCAAACGGTTGGTAGTTTGATTCCCAGTCAGGGCACATGACTGTGTTGCAATCAAGGTCTCCAGTAGGGGGTGCCTCCAATGTGAGAGGCAAACACACACTGATGTTTCTCTCCCTCTCTTTCTCCCTCCCTTCCCCTCACTAGAAAGAAATAAACAACATCTAGAAAACAACAATCCAATAATTAAAAAAAAAAACAATGTCCCTTTCTGCCTCTGGTCATTTTCTTGCTCTGAAGACAACTTTGTCTGAAACGAATGTAGTCATAGTCCTGCTTTCCTTTCATTAATTTTGCCTGGTAATTCTTCCCTCCTTTAAATTCAACCTATCTGTGGTGTTCCATTGAATTTGCCCCAAATTCAATCAGCCAGAAAGTCTGCACACTTGGCTAAAAAGCTCCTTGGGCCAAGAAATTTGTTCGATTGGTCAAAAAGTCCATTCGATTGGCCGTAAAATTTGTCTGTCTGGCAAAAAAAAAAAAATTTTTTTCATTAGGTTGGCCAGAAAGTTCATTCAGTAGCCTTAAGAAGTCCAAAAATGTTGCTTATTTTCTTCTATCTTTAATATTAAATGCCTACACAGAAATTCACAACTTTTGGTAAGTTGTTTTAAAAACTTCATGCTGATATGACAGTTGCCCCAATACAATCTAACAAAATTGTTTCAAGTGAAATTAAAGACAAGTCAGTACTACTAGAGTCAGCTTATGGAAAGGCAAGTAGACATTTTTTGACCAGACAAACTTTCTGGCCAGAAAACAAACTTTTTGGCCAGCTGAATGAACTTTCTGATCAAACAAATTTCTTGGTTGATGGACTTTTTTTTTTTTTTGGCCAATTGAATGAACTTTTTGGCCAGCTGAATGAACTTTTTGGTCAAACAAATTTCTTGACTGAATGGACTTTTTGAGCAATTGAGCAAACTTTCTGGCCAATTGAACAAATTTCTTGGCCCAAGGAGCTTTTTAGCCAAGTGTGCAGACTTTCTGGCTGATTGAATTTGGGGCAAATTCAATGGAACACCACAGATAGGTTGAATTTAAAGGAGGGGAAGAATTACCAGGCAAAATCAATGAAAGGAAAGCAGGACTATGACTACATTCCTTTCAGACAAAGTTGTCTTCAGAGCAAGAAAATGACCAGAGGCAGAAAGGGACATTATGTTTTTTTAAAAATTATTGGATTGTTGTTTTCTAGATGTTGTTTATTTCTGTCTAGTGAGGGGAAGGGAGGGAGAAAGAGAGGGAGAGAAACATCAATGTGTGTTTGCCTCTCACATTGGAGGCACCCCCTACTGGAGACCTTGATTGCAACACAGGCATGTGCCCTGACTGGGAATCAAACTAGCAACCGTTTGGTTTGTCAGCCACTGCCACTCAGTCCACTGACCCACACCAACCAGGGCTATATCTTGTGTTTTTATCCCATCAAACACTCTTATGTCTCTTGATTGAAGAATTAAAAAATATATATTTTATTTATTTATTTTTAGACAGAGGGGAAGGGAGGGAGAAAGAGAGAAACATCACCCTGCACTGGGGAACCTGGTCCGCAACTCAGGCATGTGTCCTGACTGGGAATTAAACCAGTGACGCTTTGGTTTGGTGTCTGGCACTCAATTCACTGAGCTCTGTCATTCAGGGCACAAAGCTAATTTTTTCAATGGCCAAGAGGACTGACCAGCCTCTAGCAAGACGGACAGGGAAAGAGGAAGAAGCCATGAGTTACCCATCTCAGGACTGAAACCAAGGATGTCCCTGCAGACCCTGCCAATGTCAAGGGAGGAGGGAAAGCTAGGGACAATGTGACAAACACACTGGACAATTAGAACAGACCAAGGACTCCAGAAACACGAGTCATTGTAAAGTCTCCACTTCTCACAGCCCGCCACCATCTGTTTCAAGCGTGGAACATTTTCCTTACGTTTATGTAGAGAATTGCATGCAGAAATAGTCAAGGCAGC